ATTGACATGGGGACTTACTGCAGCGGGAGTTCTTTTTTCTAATTTTTGTTGTTGTTTTGGTTCCATTTACTCAATTGTGGTCGTCGAGTGGGTGAGTCGCAGGAGGGAGGTGTGATATGTGGGGAGCGAACTTTGTTTTATGGGTTGTAAAACATAAAGTAGAAAAGCATAAATCGTAAGGAGAAAGCAGCGAATTTGTTTTAATGAGGTTTCCAACAGAATGGTAATATTTGTATTTGTCATGCGTAGATACACATTTAAAGAAATTTAAAGGGACCAAAGGTACTTCAGTCATTTTAAAGTCTATAGACCTCTTATTTCAATTCAAATGTGCTGTAGCAATGTTTTAAATAGGCGAAATTTGCTAATCACATTGTTAATATGGTGAATTTCTCTATTAAATAAAGCTTTACATCGGTTAAAGTAATTTATATAAACTTTAATTGCTAGTTGCTAGTAGCACACTATCGAAATAATTGCATATGGGGAACCGCAATTAACCAACACAAAACTATTTGAAGAAAAACTTCTCTGATGGCTAAGTGTATGTTATTAAATTTAAGTAAACTATGTAAAACCTTGTTGCAATTATCCATTCTAAGTGAACCTCTGATTTACTGCTATGCTTATTTTCGTGGTTTAAATGCAATTACAAGCAACGAAATTAAAAGTGGAACAATCTTGATTATGGTGTTACATCTTTTGCTGGATCTTGCGAACTTCCTCCGGTAATTGCCCTCCATATGTCGCCCCCACCTAATAGTTCCCATAATTTTAAGGCCTGTTTCTGGTTGCTGCTTCGCTGGCTATGCTAATGACCCACTATATCTGGGCCTAAGTTGGCCCGGATGGTCTCAAGTTATTTGATTTTTTTTCGAGTTTCATACGATTATATGGTGGGCACATGCCAAACCCACACGCTCTACTGGCGGCTTAACCGGCGCATTACTCATGCTCATCTGCCCCGGAAAATTGCCATAACTGGTTGTTCACCCCTTCCCCATATTTTCTTCTTCGGTCGCTTTGGTGCAACGTTAGTTTCTTTAATTAAAAAAGCATGAACTCTTTGTGAAGTTCTGGGACCTTACTAAACTCCCTGCCCACAGCGGAGATCGCATTGCCCACTTTCTGACATCGGCAAAAAGGAAGCACAGGGAACCTCAGCTGCCTCTCCTAAAGTCCAAAGTCATAGTTGAAATTTGTGTTTTCATACTCTTTCTGAAAGTGTTATAAGTTTGGCTTAAAGTTAGTTTAAATGGCCCCTTTTTATAATGCAGATCATTTTTGTAATTAGAGAAAGGGGCTGAACAATAAAGAAATTCTAAACCAGAAATAATAATAGCTTAAATTTCTACATATAAATTTATTAACAACGTTTAACAAAAATGTTTTTATGGTGTTGAGCAGAACATGATGGTCTTAAGAATATAAACAATCAATATATAAAAAAAAAAGTTTTATAATTAATAGAGGGTATAAAAGTTTCGTCTTGTCCAGCTCGATTTCCCTTCTCGTTTTTTCTTGGTTATTTTTTTGGGGAACTTTTTGCGTTTGCCGCTAAGAAAACAGTTTTTTAACCGTTTTAAGTTTGTTGAGGTGCTGGGGCAAAGGGTTTTTTTTATTTTTGCCTTCAACTGCAGCTGCAATTTCCGTGCCATTTATGCAAACTATTGTTCTTGTTGTTTTCGGCCTTCCAACGCTTACCATTTTTAAACTGAATTTACGTTCACACTTCTGCCTTCTGTTTGGCGTTTCTTTCTTGGCCTCTTTTTGGCTTCCTTAGGTGACTGCAATGACTTTCAATTAACTTTATGCTTCAAAGTTTTAATTAAAAGGAAATTACTTTTTTTCTGCCATTTAAAGGTGTCGCAATTGTTAGTATTTCTATGAATACAATAATAAAAAAACGACAAATTTGTTTCCCATTTCATTTCTACGAAAGTTTGTTAACTAAAATTCAATTGGAAAAGTATTATGAAATTGAATAACAGCGATACAAAACTACGCCCACACAAAAAAAATAGGAAAATAGCTAACAGAAAAGTTCACAATTGATTCCGAGTGCTTTCAGAAAAGTTTTCCATACACAAAACTACAAATTTGGTTGGCAAGAGCACAAAGAAGGCCAACCGAACCAACCAATACATCATTGTAAACACGTAGGTTTTAGTATATCACATTTTAGACTAGCAGATACCTATTTTATGAGATGAATTAATTGTGTATATACATCAAACTTTAAAACAAGTAGACTGAATAAAAAAAAAGTACAAAGTGTGAGCATAAGTTGTAAAGTAATACATTAATAAGAATAAAGTTTATAAGTTTGGCTTTTTTAAACGTCTAACATAACATAACTATTTGGAATCCGGATACCCATTCAACCTTGCCATTTCCACAAGCAGGGTAGCAAAAATATCCATTTGCATTGAAAACATTCACATGGGCGCCTCGAGTTGCAACTCCAAACGAAATTAAGCTCCCTCAGAGGAGACTTCAAAGGGTCAAGGGGCCAAAAGGGGCAAAAAAAAAAACAGCAGGACAAAAGGCAAGGACGAAAAGGGAACTAGGATAGGAGCAAAGCTGACTTCTTGAGCTGGGTTTGCTGATATGGGTATAGCGAAGGTTGGAAAACACACAAACACGCACACCCACAATCAGAAAACAGGAAAATAACTAAGGGAAAACGAAACAACAAAATCATTTTCCAACTCGAAATTATATCGTGCAGAAGGAGAAAAGTGATGGGAAGCCTCCACAAAAAAAAAGGATAACACGTCAAAAGAAACCGAAGGATGTTATATATACGTACGTGTTGACTCCCAGATGAAGGTTGTCATCCATTCGGAGCGCTAAAAAAGGTTGACAAAGTGCAATTTGCAATGGAATCAAATTTGCCAGAAAACTCTTGGAAACATTCGTGATGACAGCAGCAAAGACCCCTTTTCTATTTCTAAACATTTCTTAACTTGATACACTGAAAAAATAATAAGCAGCTTAGCTTAAGCCAGGATCAAATAGCCATTTAGCTTTAGTATAAAATAAATTGAAGTTTCGTTTAATGTTTGCTCAAATGTTATGTAAATGGAATTATATTAATTGATACATTCCAAATACCTTGTAATCAGAAAAATTTTATACAATACTTTATTCAAAAAGATAATGCTTTCAAGTAACAGAAACTAGAAAAATATACATTTGTTTCTTGTTTAATAATTTATTTGTTAGTCTGCAAACTTTTTTTTCCTGACCGACTTAAATTCAAATTGTTTTCCAAGTTTCAGAGGGAATCGTATTTTTGACGTGCATTTATGCAGGATAAATTTGCTGGCAAAATGTTTTGATGGGGGTCAAGGACAAGATGCCCGGAGCAGTTGACGCTTGCCTTCTTGGGTTTCCTTTTCCAGGAAGTTATTAAGCTCCTTCGTCGGAAGGAAGTGAAAATATTCGACTAATTGAAATAATTGAGGCAAACTTTGTTGGGAATTGTTGGTTGGGAGAAGTTTTCCAGTATCAGAGATCTTAAAATGCTGTGTTGCCCCCGGAATCTCTAGCAGTTCCCCCTTCCCTTTGACCAATTCTAGAGAGCTTAAGCTTTGGTTTCCCAGTTTTATTTTTCCATACCACGTTTGCCACAAAAGAGGAGAAATGAATGGGGCTCTTGGGACGAGGGGAAACGCTTAAATTACCATAAGAGTGGCTTGGGGGGCGGCTATGGTGGTTCCGTTGGGTGACAGGTGGTGGCTTGTGGCAACATCAGTTAATGCCCACTGATTAGCATGAAGCCCCCCTTTTACCCCTTTGGCCAAGTGAAACATTTGAATGGAGCTGCAATCATACAACGATGCTGCTGCTCGTTGGACCTTAAATGCTTTTAAATTTTAATTAAATGGAATGCAGCGTTCAGTTGGCAGGAGATAATGTTTTCTCTGCGTGTCGAACAGAAATAAAAACCCTAAATTATGGCCAATGGCAAATACAAGTGAATAAATCATGTTCAGTAGTGGAAAGTATTCATTTGCTTTTGCTGGCTTTTTGTCTCTCATTTGTGGGCTATTAATTTAATTTTGCGCATTGTGTTGCCAGAGGATTTTAAGGAGTTTCTGGCTCCATCATGGGTAAAAGTTTGTGGCATACTATGCCATAATTTCATCATTGCAAAAAGTTCTGCGAACATGTGAAGAGTTTTTGATTGAGTTTTCAGTTTGCATAGTTCGTTAAGTTAGTTTGACTGGTGTGCTTGGGTATTTTTGACGTGCTGACGTTTCTAGACTGAACTTTGACCTCAAAACACGAAGGTTATAGCAAACATTTATAGGTTGGTTGCTTTATTTTATACTACCTTATGTATACGGCTTTGACATTTGCAAGTAAAAGGATATTATAAGAATGTTTCTTTTTATTTTAATCAATTCAGTTTTATTTCACATTTTCTGGTTTTAATTTTGAGAAGCATAAAAGCACCTCGCTTAGAATTTTACTTATTCCGGCCAAGCATTTATGCATTCCTTACACCAGGCTCCAGGCATTTTCCCTCCTGCGTCCTTGTTATGGTTTAATTAAATTCTCCACTAAACTTCCTGCCCTTGTCCGCATAAAATATTCAAACACTCTTGCGGCAAGGACAGCCCAGACGGGATTAGTGTTGGAAAAATAAAATCAGGAACCGGATTAAGCTTGGAATGGATGAGGTCTCCTACAGCTACGCTTTTTATAGTTTCTGCATGCATAAACGGCTTAAATGATAGTTATTCTGGATTAAAAGCAGTGTTTTTCAGATAAACAAAGGCATCCTTAAGGAAATGATTTCCAAAAGACTGGTTTTATAAATTATACAGATTTTAACTTGGTTAGAAATGAGATATATAATAAGCGATAAAACATATTTTTAACATATAACATAACTGTATTTGAAATCCGTATACAATTGCTTAAGTAAAACACCTCTATATATTAAAGTTGCAAAATTAAAAATGTTTATATCCTTGCAATATTTCCAGATGTAGAACACAGCCCTAGGAAGGAAGAAGAAGCCCAGTGCCAAGATAATCTGGGGGAATCCCAACCGGGGACAAGCAAACGCAGTCCACTGACCAGGATGTCGTTCAAGCTCTTTCGCCGCGGATCGGCGCGGTGCATCGGTCTACTATCGGCGTTCGTGACGATCCTACTCTGCCTTTACTACATCTCCATTGGCCAGCCCAATCCGGCGCCCATTTCCGAGACGGGTGCTCCGTCGGCGGCATTACGTGGTTCACCACTCAATGCAATAAACGGTTTCAGCGTGGGCGCAGGTTCATCCGCGATATCCCACCAACAGAAGATACATACCGCGATTGTGTCGAACCAGAAGAGATCCTCGGAAGCGAAGGTGGCGCAGACAACTGGGTCGCCGGAGTCGCAATCGGAGGAGGAATATACCAACAGCAAATGGGGCGACAAGTGCTACGAGTTGCTCCAGAGCAACACGAATATAACCGCTAGCGAGGAGCACAGCAAGTTCGACTTTCAGGTGAGGGGAACACCACACTTCAAGTCTTGGTGTTTAATGCATTTTAAAATATCCCTTTACTTATTATGTTACTCTTCCAGCCGGAATGGATGCGCTCGAAGGAGTACTGGGATCGAGGTTTCGAGGAGCGCTTTGATGCGCAGAAAAAGGACAAACAGCGGCCACCACTGAAAATCATAGTGGTTCCGCATTCCCATAACGATCCCGGCTGGCTGAAGACCTTCACCAACTATTTCCAGTCGGATTCGCGTCAGATCCTCAACCTGCTGGTGACCAAGATGCAAGAGTACACAGACATGACGTTCATCTGGTCGGAGATCAGTTTCCTGCAACTTTGGTGGGATCAGGCGCATCCCACCAAGCAGCGAGCACTAAAGCGGCTGATTGACTCGGGTCGCATCGAAATAACCACTGGTGGATGGGTGATGACGGATGAAGCGAACGTGCATATTTACCCAATGCTGGATCAGCTCATCGAGGGCCATCAATGGCTGAAGAACAACCTGAATGTGACGCCGAAAGTGGGCTGGTCCATAGATCCCTTTGGACATGGCAGCACCGTGCCATATCTTCTATCCGGAGCGAATTTCGAGGGCACCATCATTCAGCGGATTCACTACGCCTGGAAGCAGTGGTTCGCCCGCCAGCAGTCGGGTGACTTCATCTGGAAGCCCTATTGGAGGGGCAGAAACGGAAAGGACAGTGAGACTGGCAGCCTGCTTACCCATAACATGCCCTTCGATATATACTCGATCAAGGGCTCGTGTGGTCCTCATCCCTTTATCTGCCTAAACTTTGACTTCCGCAAAATACCGGGCGAGTACACAGAATACTCCGTAAAAGCCCAATTCATTACGGACGATAATCTGGAGGCAAAGGCGCAGCTGCTGCTTGAGCAGTATGCCAGGACCGCCTCTTTGTTTCCCCACAACGTGGCCCTCATCCCGGTCGGCGATGATTTCCGTTATAACAAGGATCGCGAGGTGGATCAGCAGTATCAGAACTACAAGAAACTAATCGATTACATTATGGCCAATCGGAGGCTCTACAACGCAGACATCCGCTTTGGGACACCCAGCGATTACTTTGAAGCCATCAAGGAGCGCATGAAGGATCGCAGTCCTGGTTTCCCCAGCTTCAAGGGCGACTTCTTCGTTTACTCGGATATTTTCTCGGAGGGCAGGCCGGCTTACTGGTCGGGATACTTCACCACACGTCCCTTCTACAAGCTGCTGAGTTCCGAGCTGGAGCATCAGCTGCGATCCGCAGAGATTGTGTTCACCCTGGCCTACAACACTGCTCGCCAGGCGAAGCGCGAGAATGCGATCAAGATCTACGAAAAAAACTATGAGCTCATCATTAATGCTAGACGAAATCTGGGACTGTTCCAGCACCACGATGCCATCACTGGTACCTCCAAGGCGGCGGTGATGCGAGACTACGCCATGCGTCTATTCGAGAGCACCCAGAACATGGTCAAGATGCAGGAGTCCTGTCTGGAGCTGCTGCTTCAAAAGGGTCAACCCCGACATCACGGTTTCTTGCTCAGCGAATTCGAGCGGGATAACTTCAACAAGCTGCCGCGTAAGATGCCCATCCAGATGGCCAACGGGGACGACTCCACGGCCACTGTTTCTGCGGGAGAAGGTGGAGCGGGTGGTTCAGTTTCTGTCGGATCGATAGGAAGCTTTGTCCTGTACAACTCGCTGGCGCAGAAGCGGGTGGAAATCGTCACTCTGCGCGTCCAGCATCCCAATGTGAAGATACTCAACGATAAGGGCGTGGAGTTGAGTCACATCCAGATCAATCCGGTGTGGAACATCACGGACACCTACGAACAGGGACTGGGCACATCCGTTTCCGGTACAGTGGGACGCATTCGCACCTCGACACGGCAGTTTGAAGTGATGTTCGTGGCCGAGCTGGAACCCTTGTCCCTTAGCACGTATCGCGTCCAGGTGGACGAGGTGAACTTCAAGCGGAACATTGCTACCATCTACTGTGACGACTGCACGGAAACAGCTCCTGCAGGAGTGAGTCCGCCGGATGAAGCCGAAGTCTCGCCCTCTCCAGTTTTTGGGGCTCGTGCCAAGCCAGCAGGTGAGATGCATTTAATTTATTAAAGTTATTTTATAACATGTTTTACTCACGTGTTTATTCTTGTCTACAGGCGATATTCAGTTGGAAAATCCCCATATGCGTCTACTGTTCGACGAGAAGAGTGGTTTCCTCAAGACCATCACGCGTAAGAACCAGAAAAAAGAGCTCTTGAAACCGCTGCAGTGCAACATCAAGTTTGCCGCCTATCGTAGTGCTCAATTTCACTCGGGTGCATACCTTTTCAAGACCGATCCTGAGCAGAGTGAGGCCGAGAAGGAAGTGCTCGAGGGCTACACTGATATGCGCATCATTATCACTTCGGGACCGATAGCCAGTGACGTGACCGTCATCTACGGCCCCTTCCTGGCCCACACGGTGCGCATATTCAACACGCGAACTCACTTGGATGCGGCTATATATGTGGAAAACGACATAGACTTTGAGCCACCACCCAAAAACCGGGAGACGGAGCTGTTCATGCGGTTGGTCACCAACATAGATAATATTGCTCAAGTCCCGCTGCAGCGGGATCCTCTCAAGGAGCCGGCCGATGCGGCTACCATGCCTGAACTTCCCGTCTTCTACAGCGATCAAAACGGCTTTCAGTATCATGAGTAAGTTCAGCTACTTGGGAAGAACCTCCCCAAGACTTGGAAAATTCGATTAGTTTTTGCCATTTTCCAAATTTGAGGAGTATATTTTCAATGTTTAAAAGACCTTATGCTAATAATGCCATTCCTTGTTTGATTAGACGTATAAAAGTGCCGGCAATTGGCATCGAAGGCAACTACTTCCCCATCACCTCGGGAGCTTTTATCCAGGACACGCGGCTGCGCCTCACTCTGCTGACGACCCACGCCCAAGGAGCGGCCAGTTACGAGCCGGGCCAGCTGGAAGTGATGCTAGACCGGCGCACCCTGTACGACGATTATCGCGGGATGGGCGAGGGCGTCGTGGATAGCCGTCTGACGCGCCACAAGTTCTGGTTGCTGGTGGAGGATCTACCTGGTGGTCAGCATGTCACGCAACCGCCCAGCTACAAAGTGCTCAGTCAGCAGGCACAGCAGCTGGCCAATGCACTGCGCTACCCGCCGAATCTTTACTTTGTGAGCAGCCTGGAGCAGCCAGAACTGTCCGCTGCTCTGTTGCCCTTGGTCAGGCTTCTGCCCAAGGGAGCGCTGCCGTGCGATGTTCACCTGACCAATCTGCGCACCCTATCCGATCCGGAGCTGCAGCTGTTTCCGTCCGCCTCGGCTCTGCTGGTGCTGCATCGCCAAGGATTTGATTGCAGCGTGAGCGCCAGCAGGGAATTGTCCATGGAGGCCATCTGTCCTTTGTCCAGCAAGGGATTGGGTAACGTGCAGCTCGGTCGGCTCAGCCTGCACACAATCGAGGCCACCAGTCTGACGGGGACGGAGCAGAAACCGTCGAAGGATAGCTTTCACATACGCTCTCTGGCCGAGATCAGTTTGGAGCCCATGGAGCTTCGTACCTTTAACCTCACATTCCGCTCGGAGGTGTGAGGTGGTTAAAGCCCATCAAGCGGAAATATTTATTGTATTTATTTGTGGTTTAGTTCGCATAGTTAGTGGTATGCGCCAAGTGCAAAGTTCTCAGCTTTATTTAGTTCTCGTCACGTCTACTGTCTGTCTTCAACAGTTTTGAAAGTACAAAGCACACGACATAGTTATAAACACACAATAGGGTGGGTAGATTTTTTTTTTGTTGAATCATACAGTATAAAGGTTAATGAAAAATTCTAGGCACGGTCGCCCTGCAGATTTTTACAGGATTACAGGTCAAAGCTTAAGGAAAATGAGGCTAAATTTTGAATTATATTTTTATGGCCCAGTTATTCCCCTAAATAATAGCCAATTTTTACTAAAGTATTCGTATGTACTCTTCTACATGTTTAAGAAGTTTAAATTGGGATTAACTTTCATGGCAAATATTATTTCATTTTAGCGGCTATGAAATTTGTAAAAAAAAAAAACCCGTTATGGATTTAAAAATGCCTAGAGTTAACCATAGATTTTTTTAAAGTTTATAGTATATTTTTTTCATTATGTAATTCGACCCACCCAAACATGAATGATGTCAAACTTACAGCCTAACTCAATATAATAGGCCAAAATACCCAACTCGTCTGCCCAGGGCAATGCATTCCGGTTAGCTATATTCCCCCAGCTTTATTATTGAAATATCTGTGCAATAATCTTGAACTAAACAGCACTATGGAAATGATACGGCTTAGATTTAAGGACTAGCTTGATTTTAGATTGAAATATTTAGACAGAAAATTAGTAACAAATTTTCGTTTTGTTCGCGCGTTTGGCGTTCGTATCGATTTGTTTAGACTGATTAGCCTAAAACGATTGCAAAATTGGCATGTATTATTAATCTCAATTACTCTAACCAATCCTAGCCCTTAATCCAGAACTAACCAAAACACAGTAATATCTCGAATGTAAAATCCCTAGATATACACAAGTGTATGTAGGATATAAGTTTTAAAAGAGCAACGTAGTGGGGTAGCAAAAGTATAAGCCAAATATTACATTACATTCACTAGCAATATTGTATATAGTCGAATAGGATTTCCAGGCACGGTAAAAATAGCTCTAATAACCGATAAACCACCTAGATCTAAGCCCCTCTCTCAGCTCTTGTATATTGTCGTATACGAGAGTTGTTCAAATAGTTACTATTGACTTCTGAAACAAAGCATTCAAAACAAGCAAGACATCAACTTTAGAATACCCAGAACTTAAGGACGAGCGAAGAACGATAGAACACTTCTAACGAATACAAATGTTTTGTGTATTTATTTATAAAATCTTATTACATTATATCTAATTTTATGGATACAAGAAAATAAAGTATTAAATGAAACCAATTATGGAAAGGGTGTTTGTAATATAAAAATAAACTATTGTATCTTTGATCAGTTGGTTTTTTTGTAAGAAATGATTTTCTTGACAACTTGGTAACTGTGTGTATGTAAGAAACGATTTACTTAAAAAATAAGTATTAATAAGAAACGAATGGCGAAGCCTAATAGTACATTTGTTGTTAGCTTCAGGCGTTGATTTCATTAACGCAGAACATGGGATTTAAGTAGGTTTACTTTTAACACGCAGTGTTGTGGTAAAATTAAATAACTATGCTCCCTAAAGTATGCTTCTGCATTCAAATTCTTACAAAATTAGAACACAATAACATAAATAAATATTATCTATTTTCTCCAAATTTAAATTTCACTATGAAAATATCAACGATAACAATGTTTTCAGTCATAGTTATTTTTAATATATGCCTAGACATTTTTTCCCAATTTAACAACCACTTTACTAATACTTAACAGGAAAGAAAACCACAGACAAAAGTCAAATATTGACACGTTAATTTGTAATTTCCTTAGTCTGGAACCACTTCGTACATATTTGCGCCCTTCATGAGCAAATAGCCGGCCACGTTGGCCATTTCCACCACCTGGCCGATGCCGGTCAAGATTCCAGCTCTCGTTCCGATCTCCTTTAGCTCCTCGTACTCAAATATACGCCTCCCCAATGCAGCCGATCGTTTTTGCATCAACTGGACAAAATTGCGTAGTTGAGCGCTTTTTCCGCCGCCTCTTCCTCCTCCTCGAGTTCCAGATCCACCAGAGCTGGACTTAAGGCTGGTCTGGGCGATGCTCTCGGTCAGCAGGGCGATCACATCCCGCACGTGCGTAGGGCTGACCACATGGGAGAGATCCAGCCGGGCACGTGCCTGAGACAAGTGAATCAGCCCAAGAAGTTGTCTAAGAAAATGATAAGGAAATTTTAACTGATTACATTTTTAATTCCTTTTATCCTAATTTAAAAATAAGATAAATCATATGCATTTTTCCATCGTAAATGTAAAAATATCTTAAACTTATTTGAAAATACCTTAGACTTAAAATAATTTTATGGTTTTAATATGTTTTTATGAAGATCTTAAAAGCTTATGTTTTATATATGTATAATGTAGGTTGAGGAAAATTAAATTCATATCTTGTACCCACCAAAATTATAGTAAGATAAAATATAAAAACTTGTAATTATTCAGCAAGGTAAATTAGTTGAAATATAACCTTCTAGATTTTAAAAATGTTTCTAAGCCATAAATTGGACACCCAGTTTGGCGCCTAAGTCTTTTGATTTCACCCTTTTTGGTAATAGTTCTTTGAACGTGTCTTCTTTTATTCTTAGCCATTTATTCGTAATTCAGACGATTAAGAGCTCGAGGCCGTTTGTTGGTCTTGCCTTCTTGACCCCTTATTAATTTCGCATCTTGTTTTCGTCGTTACGCCTTTGGTAAAAAATTCTATTTAGTTATCTCCATATTGGCCCAAAACACGTTTTGGCAGAGAACTTTTTAGGATTTTGTAAGTCGTAGGCCCAGATGGTCGCGTTATGCTCAATCACAGCTAGCTTGGCCGAAAACCCAAAACGTAAACATAAATCAGTTGCATGTGGGCGATTGAGTGCCCAGCATCGAACATGTTCCAACGCATTTTGCGTTTGCCCTTTTTGTTTTGGTTTATTTTTCGGAAACCAACGCATTTCTCGGGGGGAGTTTTGAAACCCATCATTACAGCAACTGCATCTACATCGGCAGAGGCTGAGGCAGCGGAGCCCTCATCTCGTCCAGAGGCCTTAACCGCACGCATCTGTTTGGGACGCGTTTCATTCTCGGCTCGCTCGTTGGCGCAAACGGTTCATTAGCTGGCTGATCGGTTCGGTTCGGTTCGGTTCAGTTTGGTTTAAGCCAAAAGTGCATTTCCTAACATTGGCATTGGCCAGACAGCAGAAGCCCCTGGGTCTGGTCATCTGCTTTGTTTTACTTCATTTATTTTGAGTCGCGTCCGTTGACGAAATTCCGCTTCTTATTGTTATTGGTGCGCTGGCGTTGCATTTGATTGGTGTTCGAGTGACGAAAGTGCCAAGAGTCTTTCAAAGTCAATCAATTAGAGGGTGCATTACGATCGCCGATTAGATACATCTCACGATGATGCTACACATCGTGATTTTAGCGGCGATTTTAACGGGCGCCCAATGCTTTCAATTGAACAGTAAGTGAATATTTTATTAAACACCTTATAATATGAGGATTTATGTGCCGTATAAATTTGATTTATGGGCCTATAACCAATTCTGATAGTCGTTGGATAAGACTAGATTTTATAACAATGATTGTGAAGAATGAAAAAAGTATTTGAAAGAGGAGATATAAATTGTATAAAAAAGGATAATTAAAATAAAGTGAGTATTAAAGTTATTAAAGATTATGACTAGAATAAAACATTTTTAAGAGTTTACAAATATCAATTAGTCAGTCAAATATAAAATATGTTTGTAATATAAAAGTTATAAACGGTAGATATTACCCAATAAAGTTGTTTACTTAGCTGCCTGCAGAAAAAGGGGTTGAATATTGTAATACAAATTATAAACTGCGACTAAAACCACAAATCATTTAATGCCTATGATTAATTTAGCTTGAAGAGGCGTATCCGTATTTTCTATTGCAAATGGGGAAGTTCTACCACGACAAAAATCACATAATCCATTATGCAGTGACATTTGTTCGGATTGCATGTTATGCTTGTCAATCGATATAACTATAGAACACTTTGTTAAAGTTGGTATTACCCTCATCTGCACCTGCTCCTCCCAATCGCGTGTTCTGCGGTAAAAGTTCCCCTCCCAAATTGGAGGTACGAAAACATCTCGAGACTTCGATGACAGAGCAGTATTTTGACAAACAATTAACTCAGCATTTGACAAGAGATTGAGGCACTCACTTGGCCAGCAAAAAAGGCTAAACAATTACAATATTTACATTTGCTTGTTTGCTTATTTCCCTTAATCGGAATAGAGATGAAGATGCTGCAGGCAAATGCAAAGCAAGTTCAAGTTCGGGCAAAAAAAAAACTAGTTTCCTTTCACTTGAATTAACAGCCATTGAACTCGGACTGCGGTTCTAGCGAAAAAGGATCTTTCCAGTCCAAAAACTAGTTTGCCACTTAATGAGCTGATTCATCCGACTGATTCCTTGTGATGTTTCTCCATCTGTTCTTTCCCTTCCGCCTTGCAGTGACGCAGTTCTATGAGATGCCGCCGCTGTACGACTTGGATGACTACGATCGCTGCCTCCAGGAGTTCGAGGGCCAGTCCTCCACATACTGCTTTGTCCGGGCGGAAGTCCAGCCGGATGTGTCGGTGGCCGCCTGGCGAGCCATAGCTGAAATTTCGCAGTACGATCGCCACCATTTTGATCACAAGCAGCTCTACTTTGGCCTCTGCCTCCGCGAATGTGAGGCTTCTCTGGCCGGATTGGACAATAGCGAACTGGAGGCCCTGCAGGCCGGCCTGCTCACGGAAAATGCGAAGGTAAGGCCACGCGGAGGTGTCACCTCATTGGGAGCGATTCAGCTGCGGCTAACGATCGATTTAATTCAATCTTCGAACACGCTGCCGGCCAGATATTTCAAAACCCATCGCTGGCCGAGGCGTTGGCCGTAATGGTCAATCAACAATCATCGGACACAGAAGCCGGGATAGCAGCACCAAAGTTTATTCAACTTGCGGTTGCAGATTAACGGAGCAGTGGCGCAGTCTAAAGGGGTTTTAAAGTGAATCGAATTGAAGTTGTTTTATGAAATATAAAAATGCATAATACATATTGCATAATTCGTTCAGTTTTATTTTTTAAACTAAGAAACTTTTCAGTCTCGTGTTTTGTATTTTAGTTAAGCTACCAATCTTATCGACTAAATCGATTTGTCTATATAGGTAATTTTTTTGGTTAGATGCAAATGTATTGACTCATATTTTGGTTTCGGACTTTAAAAACAGGTTTACCTGCGGTAGATTTCAAGGTCTCTTTTGAAGTTAAAGTACATTCCCAGAATAAACAGAAAGTGTCTTATTTTAATGGCCCCTTTTGTTGGCGCCTCTGTCCAAACGCGTGATCTTTATCTTCATTACCTATAAATATTGCATAAATTACAGCCGGAAAATCCGCTGATTAAACATCGGATAGGTGTGTATTGGAAGCTGGCAGTTGAGAGATGGGAATGGTGTGCCATTGATGCAGTCGCCATCAAAATGCATTTACGATGGCTGATTACACAAAGCTGTTGACTTAGGCGTTGGCCAAAAATGGAAATGGGCGGTCAAACAGCGAAATCCGATCCAATTCAATCAAATCAAACCCATTTCTTTCAAGGCCAAGGGCCCGACGTTGACATTTGGGTATTTTAATGATTCCCCCATGGCTGAATACTTCCCAGGTGAACGTGTATCTGGACTTGTTCTCGATGGAGACGACTAACCGGCAGCGTCACCAGCGACTGACGAATGCCTGTCTGAATTGGCGGCTGCAGCGTCGGGGATTCGGGGTTCAGGCCAAGAGTGTAGTGGAGTACTGCGATCAGGCGGGTCATCAGTTGGAAGACGGTAAGTGCATTGATATTAAACTATTTAACCGAATTTAATATAATGATAAAATAACAGAAGAACAGAATACCATTCCTTTTGTATAGTAGATAAGAATTCTCTTTGAATTCTACTTGTACTTTGATCTATAGTCTATTACATCAATTTCAATTTTCTAACTTTGAACATTAAATGCAACTCATAAACATTTTGTGTGTATTTGATTAACGTATTCAACTTTTCTCCTCCTTCTTTCAAGATGCTTGGAACCTGATCTTCTATGGGATTCTAGGCGTCCTATTGGTCCTGGCTTGCCTGGGAAGCCTAGTGGATCTTCACCTGAAGCGGGGGCGTCATGACAAGATGCTCAAAGAGCGAGATCATTATAAGACGCCGCCCAAAAGCACAGCACAGCAGGTGCTGCTCACCTTTTCAGTAGCCCGCAATTGGTATCGCCTCAACCAGGAGCCAAGTGGCAAGATCGGACGCGAGCTGCGCTTCCTCGACTGCTTCAAGTTCTTCGCCATGTTTATGGTGATCTTTGCCCATACCAACTGGGTGATTTACGAGAGTGCCATTAGTAATCCACAGGATCCGGAGCGGCTGCTTCACACTGCAGCGGGCACCTTGCTCGTTTCGGGATCCTTGATAACTGTCACGTTTTTTGTGATCAGTGGTCTGCTGTTGACTATCAATTGGCTGGCTGTTTCTCGAACAATACAATCCAAGGAGGACACCTGGAGCTTTGGCCAGTATGCTCAGCTTTTCGTTAAGTTCAATATCTTTCGGTACATCCGGTTGACCATTCCGTATGCCTTTGTCCTGCTCATGAGCGGCGTTTATTTCGAGAACGCCGGGGGACCTCTGTGGCGGCACATCTTCGAGCGCGAGCAGCTGGCTTGCCGGCGCAACTGGTGGACCAATCTCTTGTACATCAACAACTTCGTGCGCACGGATGAGCGGGTAAGTGGTAGTTTATCCAACGTTCCAGGTAATTCCAATTAAAATCCGTATTCCCTACTTGCAGTGCCTGCTCCAAGGTTGGTATTTGGCAGCGGACACGCATTCCTTTGTGCTTAGCTTGATTCTGCTGATGCTGGGCCACCGGTTCGCCAAGTGGAGCAAGCAGCTCTATGCGGGCATTCTAGCTCTTTTTGTGGCGGTGCCAGCGGTGCTTACATATGCCATGGACTACTATCCCATTTTTATACCCTCACCACAGTAAGTAATCATGATCGAGACTTCGACACATTGATGAAATTCATTCCCATTGTCAATTAAACAGAACCCAAAAGGATTCGTTCATAGGAGACCGCCAGTTCACTGAGTTTTATACTTCGTCCCTGATGAACTTTGGTTGCTATTTCTGTGGAGTCCTGGCCGCATTGGTCTACGATCAGTTGGCTCTGAAGCAATATAAGCTGCGAGAGCTGAAAAGCTTCCAGTTGCTCTGGTTCACCCTCATCCCGGTGGGCATCCTTTGGCTCTTCAGTGCTCATCCCATCTTCCAGCACTACTACGTGGCTCCATCCGCTATTTGGGGTGCCCTATATGCTGGTCTACAGCGAAACATCTGGGGCTTTGGCCTGGGCATCTTCATCGTGGGCATGGCCAGCAAAGTTGGCTGTGAGTATCAGTTTGGGGTTGATATAGATCTACTTTAATATCCATACTTCTTCCTCGCAGGGATCTTTCGTAAATTTGCCTGTCTGCCTATTTTCCGTATTTTGGGACGGCTTACCTATGGAGCGTTTATTGTCCATCTCCTCGTGGCTAGAATCGTTCTGGCCACAGTGCGGGAGCCCATTTACTTCGGCACGGGCATGATGGTAAGTAATCCCTTTACAAATTGTTTCAGAACCGATATAAAACGTTATCTTCCTTTATTTTTCCCCGACAGTTTGCTTTCATCTTCTTCACGATGACCATGTCCTATCTGTGCTCCTTTCTCCTGGCCATCTTTCTGGAGCTGCCTGTCTCCTCTTTCCTCAAGCTTATGCGATAGCCCAATATCTTAACTTATAGCTTACTTATAACTAGAATAAGAAATATAACTTAAATAAATCCATCACCAAAAGAATGCACTCACCCCGCTCCAATTTGGCTGCATTCGCCTTCATCCTGGCCGGCGCTACCTTGAAGCTCCAAGAAATATCTCAGAATAGTATTGCAGGCCTCGTCGTTCAGAAGCGGACTAACTTCCTGGCGGGCGTAGGCCAGGAACTTCTTAATCAGAACCGGTGGCAGCAGGTCCATGTCCCCATCCTCCGCCAGCAGCTCGAGCCGCTTGTCCAGATCGAAGTCCTGTTGCATGATGCTGTCGTTGTCGTCCTCCGTTTTCATCTTGTCATCTTCTGTTCCCGCCGCCGGCACAAGAAAGGTTGCCTCGCACATGGAGTCACTCATCTTTGGCTTTAGGGCATAGCGGGCTGCGATCCTGGCTCGTTTTTTTGCCCCAGCATGGAGTGCCCTGACATGGGCAGTCAGGGACATGTCCCTCTCGGATGGCTTGTCCAGTAACACATAGACCAGGTGAAACTCCCGGAGCAAAGCCGGCGTCATGTTGATATTCTGCAGTAAATAGCGCCCCTCATCGTACTGTCCTCTTTGAGGATTTGCGCAACCTATCACCGAAGGTTGAGCCGGAAAAGAGGCAAAGGCTCCGGGAAACGGAAGATTAACCTGCCCTGATTGTAGGCACTGTAGTAGTATCGCCTGCTTGGACGAGAGCTTGTCCACATCGTCCAGAGTGCAGTGGCCGCCGCCACTGGCCACCATCAAGGCGCCCGCTTGCAGGACGCGCTTGTTCCTTCCAGCGAAGGTCACCGCCAAATGCTGGGCAGATTGAGCACCACGTTTTCCACTTACGTGTGCACCACGCTCAGTGATTTGTGCGCAGCTCTGCAGGATCTTGGTCTTGCCGATGCCGGGATCGCCCACCAGGAGCACGTTGATGGCTTCTGTTTCATCCCCTCTACCTCCGAGAAGGGATAGTAGACAGGCGGCCTTGGGCAGCTCATGTCCGTACACTTCAGGGGCAATGGATTGCACCAGGAGTTTGAAGCTATTTTCTTCCGCATTGATCATGGCAATGGCCTCCAAGTCACGATCGCTGAACTTACGCTTGATGTTGGCCGCATCCCGGATGCTCACCGCCTTCAGGTAAGCCTGCATCTGGTTGGAGCCGTCTCCTGTGGCAGCATCCTCCCCTAGTTCCTGCAGCTTGAGTACTCCGGTAACCACGACTTCCTGTCCCACTCGTACCGCATCTACCAGATCGTGTCGCAGCTCCACGTCCATCTCCCCCGGCAGGCTGCTCTCGAAGTCATGGATATGTGACAAGCTGGACTCCTCCAGACGAATGATCTGCCTGACAGAAACCCGAGTATATGGGGAGCTCCGGAGTGGCAGAAAATCGTCGCGAGCCACGCACTCGGAACGCTTGCATTGGTATGGACGTGGCTGGAAGGTTCCACGCTGGCGCATGGCCATCTCCATCTGGCAGCGGCTGCAGCGGAAGGCCTGCCATGTGAGACTGTAGCTGGGCTCTCCCACGCTGCTCACGGTTCCCCGAATGGCAAAGAGGGTGTCCACGCGGGAGTGGCTGATTCCTTCCATCGTTTCCACGGGCACAAAGTCAACCGGTCGCACGTAGATCTTTCGAAGCCGCGTGACGGGTGGAATGTACATCTCCGGTGTAGAGGCTTCAGTGGGTGTGGAGTCATTGTTGTCTAGCAGATGGTTCACCACCACCGTGTGCATGGCCAGCGAGAGCGTGGCCAGCGTGCGGAGAGGGTGCTCCCGGATGTCCTTGGCCAAATCAGGCCAAACCTCCTTCAGCTGAGCGTCGTGGAGAATGTCAGAGGCGGACAGGGGAAAGTATCCCCGATCTCGCGTCCTCACGGAATCGTAATTGTGAGGATTACGCTGATAGTGCGCCTCCACGGCCATGATCCTTCTGGCCAGCTCGTTGCCCTCCTCGTAGTTATCGCGCAGGAAATACAGACGCCAGCCGGAGTAGGCCCGCGGATTGTCCACCGCGATGCTCTGCACCTGGAGCCCATCCTCCGGAGCGGCGTAGTTCTCTGGTCGCAGGAAACTGCAGTCCATGTTGGCACCGCCACCCCGTTTGCTGGCTGTGCGGTTCCAGCCTCTAGGTTGTCGGTTTGCAGGCGAATCGTCACCCGGAGCGCCTGGTGCTCCAGATTCTTCCTGGTTTGGTTGCCGATTTCCGCGGGCAGGGATTACGCGTCCATTGCGCCGGAAATAGAAGTACGGGCGGTAGGCCCCGCCGCCGCGACCACGCCCACGAACGAACCGCGACGGGGCGCGCCCTCGAGCAGGCGGTGGATTCATTTTATTACGGAAATGTTTACAAATTTACGCGCTTACACATAGAGATGGTACTGTTTTGATGACCACCAAATTATCGATAACCGATATTTACTTAAGGCTGTTTTGAATCACCTTTGGTAGACAGAAATCTTGATTTATTAATTCAGAAAATAAAAACGAAAATGCCTCTATTGCTATTTAGAAAATTAAAGATTGAAATAAAAGGCTTATAATAGATATTGCATTAAAAGTCTTATTAAAAATAAGATCAATAATAATAAACTAAAACTAGCAAATTATTTGGACATCAACTGGTTGGACACATGCAAGATCTTCGTTTCGTGCTTCAGCATATCCAACTGAGCGGGCAGGAAGTGTTCAAACACATCCGATAGCTTGGCCTTGACCAGGACGAATGTCTCAAGGACAAGCTTCTCCTCGAGGTTATTGCCCGACTGCACTGCGTTCAGTTCCTTGAGGAATTCTGTGCAGTCGTCGAGGAGGGTCAGCTGCTGCATGTGCAGCTTAAAGAGCTCCTGTTGCACAGTCTTGATGCACTGGATTTTTTGATCCAAGCGAAGAGGCATTGTGGCAAGAGCCGACATTTGGTCTTGGTGCATCTTAGCTTTTTCCATGCTTATCTTAGGAGGCAGTTCCTTCGGGACAGCGCATTTCGCTTCGACGTTCTTAGGACTCTTAGCACGAGGAGTTTCAGGTTCTTCTTTGGCTTCAGTCTAAAGAGAAAATTGTGTAGAGGAAACCTTGATAAGAACTAGAAACTTACGACTGGCACTTTCTTTAGGTTTGCCCCCGATTTGGATTTATATTTTTTACCCATATTCTTTTCTGAGCTAAAAAACACTTGTGACTATATTCAACAACTGATAAGTCTGAATGGCAGATCGACTATAAAATCATAGCCTTCTTTAATCAATAAATTTTTACACTTTTAAAATTATATTCAGGTATCTAGGATGCGGGGTTCTGTGCACCTCTGCCCCGAAAAAGCGAGTTGAGATTGAATGGACAGTTGTCCAAGCGTGCCAGCTGTTTAACCATATCCTCCAGGAGCATGCTGCTCCGTTCGTTGGCAGCTCGGATGAGCCCGTATGCCTCCGCATTGGCGATGCGGTGCTGCAGGAGCGGCATATAGGGACCTTTAAATTGGGGTTGTCCGTTGGCCAGTTCTTTGGGAGGGTCCGCCGTGAGAATGGAGCTCGTTTCCGCCTTTGGTGACCTTCCAGTTGGCTGGTTTGGTCGAAACTTGGGAGCCCTATAGCCGAATTTTCTCTTCTTCTCCGCTTCCAAGTGGCTCTCGCACACATCTTCCGTCTCATAGTGGTGATTATAAAATCGAAAACCACAGATTGAGGGCTTGCGCTAAAGAAGAGGGAACAAATAAAAGAATAACTTTAAAATAAGGAGATAAGTCTCGTGGAAAACAAATTTAGTTAGAAAAAGCATGTATTTTCAATAAAGAGTTCTGAAACACCAACACTACCAATACGGGGAGGACAAACCGCGTGGATGCCATAGTGGAGCTCCAGCAATATATGCGAACGGCACATTAAACTCAGTACTGATCCTTTGGAGTTTTGCTAGGATATTTTTTTAAAAATAACCATGTCGATTTTTATCCAACCGATTTCGTTCTTTCAGTACAAGCCTCATCGTCCAAGTCGGAGAATATGTGTAGTAAAACTGTGCAAATTATATTGGCCAGGGGGGAGGGATTCATTAAAATTAAATCGTGTCGATTTTTCGTAACTTTTAAGAATCTAAATTTTCCAAATTTTTGAAAAATGGATTTGCGGAAAAGATTCCAATAACTGCAGTTCTGCTCATGAGCAAAAAAAGTGTACAAAAACTGCATTTCAAAGCTTATAAATTGTCTTACACATATCATATTTCAAAGTGGCATACCTCTAAATGATTGTGGCTTAATTTTCTAATCTGTGTTTAAAAATGACTCCAGAAAAGTGTACAACAATTGCACTTCTAAACTTACAGCTCTCATGGTGCGCTCCACGTCTTGACCATCGTCATCCGAGTACTCGTCCTGTTCATCCTCCAAGTCGGTCGGAATGCGGTCGCTGCTGGGTGGCACTTGCGGCACAAATTCCGAGGCACTTGCTCGTAATCCTTGAGTAGCGACAGGAGCTGGTGATGGAGCAGGAGATATGTTGGGCGTCGACGCACCCGAATTGGTTAATGACTCCAGTTTCGGGCACAAACGCTTGTAGGCCATGACAGATCTTTCCAATTGGCTGAGATTCAGTTGGCCAGCGATATTGGCCACGTTCTGCAGGAAAATTTTACTCTGATCCATATAGAGCGAGATCTAAAACTAATTCTTTGAGGAGACGCGCACACATCGAAAATTTTAAGCTTTTTTTCAGAACTTAGGGTTGTCAAACAATCGATGCTTTAATTCTGACAGGAAAACTCGATTGTGTGGAACATTTGTTTGCCTTTAAAAACCTGGTTACCATATCTAAAAAAAGAAAAATTTCATTATAATTTTAATAGTGCTTAAAAATTAAAGGCGAATAAATTTGAAATGCACTTGAAATTTTTTATGTTTTACTTTTTTGTTGACTATTTTTTTTCAAAAATTGCGGTTTTTTTAAGTATGACCGTATGCTCAATAAATAGTAAGCTGATGTCTGCAGTTACAGATTAGGGTTGGCAAAATCGTAAACAGAGGACGCCTATAAATTGTTTTCTCTTTATCTGTAGAGAATCATAATAACATTAAAATATTTAATTAAAACCGAAGATCTATTAGGATAAACATGCCGGTGAGTAGGTTGTTCCATGCAAGAGGTAAATGAATCCAAGGCTGTGGGATATTCCTTGATTTTACACCTACGAAACCAGGTGCCAGACCCCCTGCCAGCTATCACATTTCGGAAAAATGTATTTATTTTTCATTTCTTAATCTCTGCAGGCCTATCACTCGCAAATCAAGGAAGTGCGGCAGCAGGTGGGCAACATGGCCATCCTGCCGCTGAGGACACAGGTGCGCGGACCAGCGCCCAGTGCAAATGTGGAGAGCGACATCATCGATGAGTCACTGTACTTCTTCAAAGCGAATGTCTTCTTTCGCACATATGAAATCAAGGTGAGCTTGAAGTCTGGCGATCAGGGTAAATCAGGATAAATATAGTTCTAGTGTTGGTTTGACCATTAGTGGAAAATAGAATACAATGCATAAACTGAACCTGCTAATTTATCCCCTTTGTTCGGTAAATAAATGTTCGTTCAATTGCTTAATTGTTCATTTGGACAAGTGAACCCATTAGTTCACTTTGTTCAGCTGTTCATTTGTTCTGTGGCAATATTTATACCCTTGCAGAGGGTATTATAATTTTGGTCATTTTTTTTAATTTGATTTTTCTCTTCACCTTTTTTTAGTATTCTTACCAAAGTTTAATTAGTGTCTTTAATAAGCAAAGTGCGTTTTTGAAGTGAAATGATCTTGTTAGTGAAATGCGCACTATTTACCCAATACTGTCAGATTTATATTGCCTTATCGGTACACTTTTTCAGTCGGATGTAGACCGTGTCCTCATCTATGTGACGCTCTACATAACCGAGTGCCTAAAGAAGCTGAATCGCTCCACGAGCAAGGCTCAGGGACAGCAGGACATGTATAGTCTGGCCATCTCCAAGTTCGACATTCCTGGCGATGCCGGTTTTCCCTTGAACGCCGTCTATGCCAAGCCGCAGAGCGCCCAGGATGCGGATCTAATGCGCCAGTACCTCCTGCAGCTGCGCCACGAAACCGGCAACCGGGTGTTGGAGAAGGTCTTTAGCACCGAGGACGGCAAGCCCAACAAATGGTGGACCTGCTTCGCCAAGAAGAAGTTCATGGAAAAGAGCCTGGCTGGACCTGGACAATAAAGAGCTCTCTCCAAAATTGAAAAATACAATTGATTTGTGACACGTGAAAGTGCTTTAAAATGTGGGTTCATGTTGTTTAGTGTCACTGCCAAATCGTCACTATAAATTAAATATTTAACTACAAAAAATAGGTTATTTATGTCCCTAAGCTGTTTCGTTTTAACAAAATGATGGTAATCTTTTTTTAATGAAAGTTAAAGTGGATCTTAAAAAATCAAGCTACATATTTTAGGAATATAGTTTTATTTACTAAAAGTTAAACCCAATATTTATTATAATCAAAATAAAATGTGAACAATAAATTTATTGTTTGCACTCATTATTTTTACGTTCTTGTTTAGTTTATTAAATAAACTTAATTCCCTACTAAGCAGATTCACAGTGTTAATGGGTTGCACTTTGTAAACCAAATAGTAAAATCAATAAATAAATCAGCTGTAGTCAGCCTGATCTTTGGCATATCACTAGACAACAATGCAATCGGTTAACACGCAGCCACAGCAACGATATTTAATTGGGAAATCGTTCTAAACAAGGAATTCTAAGGGGTACAAGCAACTTTAACGATAGAGATGATCGGCCTGCAAGTTGGAGGCGATCTCGGACTCCCACTTGTCGCCGTTGCAGAGCAGCTTCTCCTTGTTGTAGAGCAGCTCCTCGTGCGTCTCCGTAGAGAATTCGAAGTTGGGGCCCTCGACGATGGCGTCCACGGGACAGGCCTCCTGTGAGATAGTAAATAAAACCTATTAGTGCCTATTCTCTGGTTACAAAAGTAAGCCCTTCGTCACCTGACAGAATCCGCAGTAGATGCACTTGGTCATGTCAATATCGTAGCGCGTGGTACGCCTGCTGCCGTCAGCCCGCTCCTCCGCCTCGATGGTAATCGCCTGGGCGGGACAGATGGCCTCGCACAGTTTGCAAGCGATGCAGCGCTCCTCGCCACTAGGATAACGTCGCAGAGCATGCTCGCCGCGGAAACGCGGGCTCAGCGGTCCCTTTTCGAACGGGTAGTTAATCGTGGCCGGCTCCTTGAAGATGTGCGCCAGGGTGACGGCGAATCCGCGAAAGAGCTCGCCAAAGAACATGGTGGAAGCTGCCCGATCAGTGATGTCAGCGTATTCCATGCTCAGCTCCTTGTTGTTTACATACACATAGCCTTTGGGAACTTCGACGATGTCTTTGGGTTCTGGTCGCTGGGCGGCCAGTAGGCGGGCTCCATGGCTGCCAAACATGCGCTGACCTATGGGAGACACATTATACCATTAATTTACATTCTTTTTTGCAATAAGGATCATCAAATTATCCCATTTAGTCCTTTGTTTTGCTATGACATAAGCTTACATAACCTCACTCGATGCAAATTTCACTGAAATTTTGGGTTTACCGGCTATCAAGAGGTGGGAGGATTGTTAGACACCTACCAGTGCGCGATGCGGTGAAAATTCGCATAGTTAGCGACATGTTTGTGGCCCAATCAAAATAAAATTACCAAAATGATTGTTTTGCTATTGAATTTCCCCGAACAAGTTAAAGATGGGGTAACATCGATAGTCGCATACTCGATATTGTCAATGTTTTCCAAGACTTAATCGATAGTATTGTTTAACTTGTTGATTTTTTTAAAGTCGTTATTTTTTTTGAAAAGACATGCTCTTATGATTTTTCTATCTTGGTTCTTAATCAAATGGTATTTTATTCCTGTTATGCTTAACGGAAAGAAATAAAATGTGACTTTATTAATTGATTTGATAAGCAATCACTAAAAAAATGAAAATAAATTACGTGATAGTTTATTAGTGTAAGGAATACCCTTAATATAAAGCTTCCAGCGCCAATATCGATACCACGCTTTCGATATAAAGAGGCTTACGTATATGCCACCTTTGAGGCCAAAAGTCCCACCACTACAATTTACCGTTTAACTTTAGACGCGCCGCGGGATTGTAAAATTTTTATTTTAAAGAGTTTTGCTAAGAAAATATTTATAAAAATGGATCCGGATGTGATGGATTTTTTCGATTTCTCGAAGGAATTTAAGCGCGAGACAGCACCGCAAGGCTATATAAGTAGCGACCCGTCTAACATGGCCGTGGAAGCCACCGAATCAAAGGTGGTTAAGCGCGAGGTAATAGGCACCGAATATGCCGCTGAAATCGTGGCGAAGGAGAAGCAGCGTCTCGATGGGGTAAGAAATTTAAGTCTGTGTCAGCATTTTTGTTTATTTATTTGCCATCCGATACAGTTGCTGCGCGATGATGAATGCTTTCCAAACAAACGTACGCTGGACGACATGGACACGGACGAAGAAGAGGAGGAAGTATCCGAAATCCGCCGGGATGAGGAGTACTACCAGAAGTACAGGTTTGATCTGAATCGAGATAAGAATTTGCCGATCTACGCCAAACGCGAGGAAATTTTGGCTGCCATCGTTGCACATCCGGTCGTAATTCTCAAGGGCGAAACAGGATGCGGCAAGACCACGCAGGTGAGTGTTGCCACATTTCTTGCGGTTTACAGTCAAACTTTCAACCGGAAGTTGTTATACAGGTTAGGTTTAATAAGACTATTTTTCCATTTGAAAAAACATGTCAATTTCTTGTTTTAACCTAAATAACTCGTAAAATATTTTACAAGTTAAGTCAAAAATATGTTTAACAAACCAGGTTTCAAACAAAAATTATACATTTAAAGAAACTACAGGGCACGTTTGATATAGTTCGAAAGATTCTTCATACTAAAGCAAGATTCGATATTCATGTTCCGCAAAAACAGAGCTTAATGCAGGAAAACTCAATGTTGCTGAGCAAGGAAAAGGTACAGAGAAGTCAATACAGATTCCTCGAAAACTAATCAAGTATATTTATTTCAGTCGTTAAAGTTTTGTGTTTTCAAATCATTCCACTAAAAATAATTGATTTCCCAAAATATTAATATGATTAATGAAATGGTATATACACTACAGTTTGTCAAAGCTATCATCTAAGTATGTTCTTTTTTTTTAATTGAATCTTATTAATATAACTTTGAGGTCTAAATAGTCATTCTACTGGAACAAAAGAAGCTAACGCATTAATAAATTTATTACATGTAGTCTTTATTGAACTTAAAAATAAGTGGTGTTGATTTGGTTTCAGTAGTATAAACTTAAGCTTAAGTGCCCAGTAGTTCTTGTACTTCTTCCTCTGTGATCTCGCTTTCTTCCTCCTCATCTTCCTCGTCGTCACTGTAATCATACATCTCGTACTCCCGCTGTACATCTTTGGGCAATGGCTTTTGGAACACGGTAGCCGATGACATTCTTCGTTGATACGATTCGCTGACTTCCAGTTCCACTTCAAGTTCCTCCGCCTGGGGCTGCGGCTGCCTTTCCTCCATGCCGTACATGGCCTTGTTTCGTACTCTTTGGCGCACCTCTAACTGGTTGCTCGCAGAAGTTGTGGGCCGCTCCTCATCTCCAGGGTTCTTTTCATTTCCCAGTAGCTTTTGGATGTCTGTGAAGACTTCCCGCAGATGGCCAAAAATATGAGTGGGCGGCAGAGCCTGCACCTGTCCGGCCAGTTGCAACTTTTGTGCATTATAGGCTGATTCCAGTTCACATAATGGCTGACAGGCCCGGTCCAGTGATTGCAGACCCTCCAGTTCGTAAGTGAGACTGACATTATTGGGGCGCTGCTGCTTCTGGATCAAGGCACTCTGCCTTTGTCTCTTTGCACCAGCTACAGTCTCCAGTCGGTCGTAGTCCACCAGGTTGTCCAATCCCTGACAGTAGTCAAGCGCCGTGAATCGGAAGGCCTGCTCCTGGACGAGGCGCCAAAACATGTAGGCCACTTGCTGGGTGTCCTTTCTATCTGGACTGTCATTGCGCAGCTCCATCGCATAGGTGGTTAGCTCCTGCCAGGTGCGAGGTGAGACCTCGATCTTCACGAAGTTGTGGGTGGGTTGCTTGTTGTAGATCACGTAGAGCAGATAGAATCCGGCAATCCTTTGGCAGCGCGAGGCGGCAAAGATGTCCCCGTTGGTGCGGCGGGAGCAGGACAGTCGCTTGGCCACGTGCAGCGCCGCTAGAGTGGTGGATATTAACTCGGTGTGGTTAGACTGGGCGGAGAAGAGGTGCTGCAGCTGCATTTTCCGCCAGCACCTGCAAAACACCTCGAACTCGATGTTTTCCCCATCGTTGACCAATCGCTGAAATCGGTGCGTCAACTCCCAGCAGTCGTCGAAGATATTCAGCTCCATTTCGGATCTGATTTACGACAACTTTGTGCGCAGCCCAACTTGAAAAGGTCTGAAAATGTAAACAATCCGACTCGATGCGCCGGTTTAAATGTTTTACAACACAGGAAACTATTGCAAATCGATAACTGTTTAGTGTTTCAAACATCTTTGGATTTAAAAAAATCCCGCAAAAACTTAATTTATTTACTAATTTAAATTCTGACCAACGTTCAATGCAAGTATGTATTTATTCAATCAAAAACATCAAACAATCCTAATAATGATCACTTTGGTGTTATAATATTTTTGAAGATACCAAGTAAATAGTTATATCAAATAAAGCCTTAAAAGTAATTCCAATTATAAATCGAATTTATTTCTTCTTGCCAGGTGCCCCAGTACATTTTGGACGAGGGTTTTAAGAGCGGCCAATACTGCAACATTGTGGTTACCCAACCCCGGCGCATAGCTGCCATCTCTATAGCCAATAGAGTGTGCCAGGAGCGACAATGGCAGCCGAACACCGTGTGCAGCTACCAGGTGGGACTGCACCGTCCAGCGAGTATGGAAGAGACGCGCCTGCTGTACTGCACTACCGGAGTGCTACTGAACAACCTGGTACATAACAAGACTCTGACCCACTATACCCACATCGTGCTGGACGAGGTTCACGAGCGAGACCAGGACATGGACTTTTTGCTGATTGTAGTCCGTCGCCTGCTTGCCACCAACTCTCGCCATGTAAAGATCATCCTAATGTCGGCCACAATTGATGCCCGGGAGCTGTCCGACTATTTTGCAACCAAGAACTTGATTCCGCCGGTGATTAGCGCCAGTCATGGACGTAAATACACAATTGAAAAGTTTTACCGCGACCAGCTGAACAACATTAAGTGGAAGGATGAGGTGGACGATCAGTTCGTGCCACGCATCAATGACGACGGCTACAGGGCGGCGGTGAAGATCATTTTGGTCATCGACAACATGGAACGGGAGAACGGGATCCATTCGCGGCTGAGCTACGACGAGGCCATGCGCCATGGAGCTGTGCTCATATTCCTGCCCGGTGTATTCGAGATTGACAACATGGCAGAAAACATAACTGATATATTGCAGCATGAGTAAGCAAATTATTAAATTGCTTCCTAAGTACGACATTTAATTATTTACTATCTTCCTTGTCCAATGCAATCGTTCTTGCTTTGCAGACGAAACATTAAAGTTTTCATTGTACGTTGCTTTTCGCTGATGACCCCTGAGAATCAGAGAGATGTATTCCAGCCACCGCCTGCAGGTTTTCGCAAGATCATCCTCACTACCAACATCGCTGAGAGTTCCATTACGGTGCCTGATGTGTCCTATGTAATTGATTTCTGTCTTACCAAAGTGCTGGTCACCGATACGGCCACGAGCTTCAGCTCTCTTCGCCTGACCTGGGCCTCCAAGGCCAACTGTCGCCAGCGTGCCGGTCGTGTGGGGCGTCTCCGGAGTGGTCGTGTCTACCGGATGGTGAATAAATCCTTTTACCAGAGAGAAATGTCTGAGTTCGGGATACCAGAAATGCTGCGCCTGCCTTTGCAAAACTCTGTGCTTAGGGCCAAGGAGTTGGACATGGGCTCTCCGGTAGATATATTAGCTTTGGCTCTGTCTCCGCCCAATCTCTCGGACATACGGAATACAATATTGCTACTAAAGGAGGTGGGTGCATTGTTCCCAACTGTAGATGGCGTCTACAACGAGATGGATGGCGATATAACCTTCTGGGGCACGCTCATGGCTCGGCTGCCATTGGACACACGTCTAAGCCGTCTCATTATATTGGGTTATGTGTTTAACTTACTGGAAGAAGCGATCATTATATGTGAGTGTGAAATAATGAAACACAATTTGATGGTAAGAGAGTCAGTTGATTAATTATTATTAATAACCATGATATTACAAATTATATTTGCCAATAAAATTATAATTGTATTAATTATAACATTTTGCAGCTGCTGGCTTGTCGATGCGTGGCTTGTATTTGGCCGAAGGTCGTAGGAGTCAAGGAGCCGATTCATTTTGGATGCATTACATTTTTGCCGATGGGTCTGGCTCGGACTTGGTTGCGATTTGGCGCGTCTATCTAGTACGTAATTAAATGCAAAACATAAGATTTTGATTGAACTGATAAGTGATTCCGGCAGACATATTTAAACATGGTCGAAATTGGCCACGAACAGGAGTCTGCTATTCGCTGGGCGAAGCGTTTCCACGTCTCCTTGCGATCGCTGAAAGAGATGCACTTGCTAGTGCAGGAGCTGCGTATGCGATGCACAAATCTCGGTCTCGTCCCGTTTGCGGCTGATTCTACTCAGATGTTGGGTGACCGTGAAAAAGTGACCATCCTCAAAGTGATCATCGCCGGTGCTTTCTATCCAAATTATTTCATGCGATCAAAGGGGTCGTGTGTCGAACCCGATCGCGATATGTACCAAGTGTTATCGGGGAACGATCCTTGTCGCACCGTCTATTTTACCAACTTTAAGCCTGGGTACATGGGCGAGTTGTACACTAGGCGCATCAAGGATCTCTTTCAGGAGGCAAGGATTCCGCCCGAAAATATTGATGTTACCTTTCAACATGGATCGCAAAAGGTGTTTGTCACATTTAAGCACGACGATTGCAATGAAAATTCATCCAAGTTAATAAGTGTGTCGGGCAAAATCGAAAGTGAAGTCTACAAGGCGGTCAGAATGAGATTTGAACGCATGCAACGTCCAATTCGCATAATGGAGTGAGTTGTCTGCACTTTTAAATTGACTCGAGATACTTATTGGGGTTTTATTTCATAACATTTCAGTCAGAATAACTTTATGAACTACGTTCAGCAGCGAAAGATTGGAGATATAATTGAGGGTCGTTGGGTTCCCCCCACAAAGTCCTTAAATGTAGAGCTACTTGCCTTACCATCTGTGTATGATAAAACCATAACGGGTTTAATCACTTGTGTGAGTATTTTATACATGAACTATGCCAGTTTTATTTTACTTGACCTCTCTGATTTTCACAGATTGTTAGCTGTGGAAAGTTTTACTTTCAACCTCAATCATTTGCAGAGTGCATTCGCAACATGTCCGAGATCTTTAATGCCCCTCAGCAGTTGCGAAATCATGTATTAAATGCAGGTGCCATCACAAAGGGCCTGATGGTGTTGGCCAAGCGGGAGAGTCATTTTCAACGCGCCAGGGTGATCCGACCCGAGAACCGGAGCAATCGGCAGCCGATGTTTTATGTTCGCTTTATAGACTATGGAGACTGCTTTTTGCTGCCCATGGAGCAGCTACGCCTGATGCCGGATGAGCTGGTAGGGCAGTATGGTGACCTGCCACCACGTGTGTTTGAGTGCAGGTTGGCGCTGGTTCAGCCGTCCATGGTAATTAGCAAGAGTAACAGTTGGCCCAAGAAGGCCAATGATATGCTCCACTCGCTAGCCAAATGCGGTCGCATAGATATCGAGGTGTACTCGCTGTTCAACAATGTAGCAGCTGTCCTTATCCACATGCGAGATGGCTTAATCAATGAGAAGCTTGTGGAGCTCAAGTTGGCTCGTCGGGCCGACGAAGATTTTATGTCTCGGCAGGATCATGACTTCCGGACCCGCAGACAAGAATCTGCCCGCTACTCGAGTTCGGCGGAGCGGCAGCAAATTAATGAGGAGTATCTGCGTTCCTGCCAGCTGCCCCAAGATAACGACCTTTCCCCACCTCCGCTGGATAGATGCAACACTGTGGTAATGTTGAAGGGACCCTACAGTCCGTTGGAGTCCACCATGTACTCCACCATTCGAGTGGGCGTATGGAAAACTGTGAAAATTGATAATGCGTCGGTTAACGCTGTACTCCTGGATGCGGATCCGCAGGATCAACACGATCAGATGATTGTGGCTCATACAACCGTGGAGAGTACCAATGGACAGATCCTGACCGCCCGTGGAACTACATTGATGCCCAACGTACACGGCTTTGGAGCACTCATGGTCATGCTTTTCTGTCCCACTATGCAGATGAAATGCAACAAGGATGGTACCAAGTATGTGTCTATCTTGGCGGGGTTGGGTTGCGACCCAAAAACTATGGAACCTTATTTCGAGGAGCACGATATGGTAATCAATTTAGACGTTAACATTCTTGAAGATGACCTGAACTTGGTAAGAGTTACGCTATACCCCAGATAAAACAAATAGTACTTTGTACTTAACAAAATACATTTTAGATCAATCAAATGCGCTATTATATCGATAGTGTCTTTTTTAACTTTAAAGACGAGAATTATCCAGCGGTTAGTGTTAATGAACGCGTTTATATATTTACTCAGCTGCGCGGCCTCGTCAGTCGGTAAGATGGTGCGACTAGACTTTGAATATTTGTTAACCATTATCTATTTTAAAGCCTTCTGTCTAAGGATCGTAGTTATATTGAAATTAACTCTAGCAACTCTGATTACATATGGGATAAAACTGAAGATCTGCCAAATGTGTCTGAGCCTTTCGGCAAGCGGGCTATATTCCCCATGCACTTTATTCCAGAGCTCCGAGAGGAGGATTTCGGTCATGTCTTGAAATTGGTGGAGAACTGCAAAAAGTTGTACGAATGGCGCAACTTGTAAGATTTACAATTTATTTTAAAAACACTGCCTCATTTAAATTTGAATTTATAATTATAGCGAGGGAGTTTTTGCTCCGATGACATGCAAACTATGCAACCAGTTGTTGGAATCCGTTCCCCAGCTACGGATGCATCTCCTCACCCAATTGCATCGTGACCGCGAAAAGCAAATTGACTACCGCAAGGAATAAAAATATTTGTATTATTAAGGTTGACAAGAGTTTAGGACTCGTTATCGTTTTATAAAATTGAAATTGTTACGAACGCTAATAAGATGACTTAAAAATCGTCTGGAAGACACTAAACTAAAAATCTTTTTTGAAAAATATCGTTATCCATTATCCTTTTGATTTTTGAAACATTCAGTTTTTATTCTTTAAAATCATTTGAATCGGAAACAGAAACCAAATGAATTACAAAAATTATAATGAACTTTCCATTTTCTATGTCATTGTTAGTGCTCTCAATGCTCTATTATTATCATATGCAATCATAGTACTATAACTTCTGTTAAATACGTTCTCGTTATACTCATCAAATACATCAAACATAATTACAGAAAACTCAGCTAATGGTCATTGACAGAATTCTCAAACTTCACTGGTAGAATACCATAAATTTTCCATTGAATTTACATAAATAAGAATCCAAGCCCTGGGATTTGCATGTTCTCCCTCTGCTGGGCTCCATTTCTGTTTTATTTTAGATTAAACTCACACATTATGCTTATGCGACTACAACAACATCAGAGGAATTCTGCACGGGAATCGGCGTTGGAGTGCTCGCCTCCACCTCGCAGATCGTATAGTTCCGCATGCGGTTAAAGGGCGGGCTGCACAGCCCACACATCTGGTGCTTATACACGCCGTATATCTCAAAGTTTAGGATGTTGTATAAGTCGAACTGAATGGTGGAAACCAGTTGCGCGCACTCCACAATCAAAATGTTTTGCTCATTCAGCTCCACGCTGAAAATGAGAGAGGAAAAGGTAAAATTAATTTTAATAATTAGTTGTTAAGGAAGTAATCGTTCTCACCGGAAATCGTAGTCGCTAGTCTCAATGGGCCACTGATAGGGCTTTTGGCGGACATCGTGCGGCGTCTGGTCCTGGTTGAGATATATAAACACCGGCTCATTTGAAGGCTGGCTTCTGTTGTCTGTGCGGGAGTGGAAATTGAAGTAGTTCTGCCCGATATGGACGCGTAGTCCGTAATTGCTGCCTAGTTCTTGGGCAGGCGATGGCGTAACAAAGACGGCCAGCTGGGGCAACGGCGAACAGTCGGCCACCAGGAGGGTGAGACAATCGGGACGCACCGCAACCTCTCTGAGATTGATTAACTTATCATCGAAGGTATTGATCATACCATTGATTACCGAGCAGGAACGTTTCAGGCCAGTTACGTAGGTGAGTTCGTGAGAGGCGTCGAACTTGGAGTCCAGTTTGTACAAAAAGGGGATTTGGTGGAAACGCCACTTGACCCCGTTGACTTCTACAGCTAACCTGAATTGATCTTGAGGCGTGTGCATTGAGATGTTGATCTCCTGGCTCATATGCAGACTGTCCACTTTGTCGGCGGATAAGGCGGAGACCAGATGGTCCAGTCGATTGGACCAAAGCTCAAACCAAGCGGGCATCTATAAAAGATCAGGGTGAGTTGATTAGATTTTGCAATGTATTTTAGGATTGTATGGTAAGGTTTTAAAATATTCGATCTAACTATCTGAAATGCTTACATTATTAAACTTCAGGTCCATGTCATACTGTGTGATCGATGTGAAATTCTCGAAGTTGCTGCGCTTGCAAAACTTGGACGTGGGAATAGGCGAGAACTTGAGCACCTCCTTGGGGCAAAAATCGGTGTCCGTTAGTGAGATCTTGTCGGAGCGCAGGAAGGCACGGGCGTGCTCCGAGGGCTGCAATGAGAAAAATGTTAAATTTCAAAGGAATCCACTTCGTTGCTAGTTCCAACATTCACACTTACACCAGCTCTAGCTGCAAACTGCACCGAAGAGCCCTTCTCGGGGCACTCACTCTCCTCCGTGGCCAGGCCGAACACCACATTGCCATTCAGAGTGTGAGGTCGTTTGGTGAACACCAGCGGTTCATAGGTCAACTTGGTGCAAGCCTGAGGAAATAATGCAAATGAGTTTAAATGTACAGTAGCAGTAGTAGCGGTAAGTACAATACCCTCGTTTGTTTTAATATTTGTAAACTTAATCTTTTATAACGTAAAATTAAATGCAATGTATTAAAATGCAGTATACCAAAGATATGGTTCAAATAATATCGAGTATTCAGACTAATATTGGAATAAAAGCTAAATATTTTATTATTGGAGTCCCTATTTAAAACTACTTATAAACTCTTCGAGCTTAAGAAGGTTGAGTTGTGGGATTTCGACGGCACCAATTTCATAAATAAGTAATGCTAATGTTGTGACCTTTATAAGGATCTTAAAATTTAGTTGCCATTATTTTTCTTTCGATTATTGTGTATCACAGTACGTAAAGCTAGGAAGTCAACAGTCGACTTAAGCCTCGACACGAGTCAAGTGCTCTCATTGGGCGACGGGCGTGACACCCTGTAAGCTCATTGTGGTTACATTGCTGGCCAAGAGACTAGACATTCAGATAAGTGGAGGTTCCAGCCCTGTGGAATGAGACCTATTACCATGACGAAACTACAGACAACAGGGCCACAACAACGGCGGCAACGATTAGCGGGCCTACACACATCCTGACTGACTGTGCCGCCCCCTTCGTCCGTTCCTGCGTGCCACTTTATTACTCAGGCCAAAACCAAAGGAAAAACGAAAAAACCCACCCACCCGTGCATCCACTCGAGCAGTTGCCGCAATTGTTGGCACACATTCGTGGGTTGTTTGCGTCCCGGAATCGAGACTGAGAGCCGAGTCTGGCAACCGGACTGCTGGCAGGCAGGCCTGGCGGCGCACGTCGCCTCGTTTGATCAATACGACTCTGAGGGAGCTCAGTAGAAGGCAGCCAGTTACGCTACTGTTCGGACGAATTTCTCCCGTCGTACATTTTTGGGAAAATTTCAATTTTTCTTTTATTTTGTAAGAACGCGCTAAAAATCAGTAAAAAAAAAAGCCGAGTGCTGTCGAATTATTTTCGGTTCCGCCATCGAGAGCATTCACTTTGCGTTGTGTTTATAAATTTATGTTTACTTGAATTTCTCTACGACAAAACTGCAAAATGACTTCGGTAAGTGAAATAAATCAAATACGAGGCAACTGAATCTAAAGACTTCTTCTGTTCGTTTCACAGATCGAATCGAAACGAGTGCAATATCGGAAGTATCTGGAGCGTGCCGGGGTCATCGATGCTCTGAGCAAGGCTTTAATCAAGCTTTACGAGGAGCAGAACAAACCGGAGGATGCCATCCGCTTTGTGCGCAAGTTCATGTGCGAGAGTTGTCCGGATGATGCCCAGTACGATGTGATGAAGAACGACCTGGAGGAGGCCAAAACGCACATCTCGAAATTGGAGCAGGAGCTGGAGCGGCTACGTGGTCAAATGTAAGTTCCTAATATCAAAATACCAGAGAAAATCGTAGTCTAAAGTTGTTATATTTTTACGCAACAGCAAAAAGTCACCGGAGGAGTACCAGGAACTCACTACAGCTGGCTACAAATCGCTTATGGATGATGAGGAGAATGTCAATTCGCTGCTGCGCAAATACCTCACGCCCGAATTGCTGGAGGAGTTTATGCTGGTTACCACCCCTGCGCCAGTGGACGCGTACCTATACGATTGCGCCGTTGCCGGATTCGAGCACCATGAGGCACCCGTGGGCATTTACGCTGCGGATGCAGACAGCTACGACGTCTTTAACAAGCTTTTCGACCCCATCATCAAGGACTATCACGGTCAGATGGACAATGAGAACGATGTGCTGCAGAAGGATCCTGACTTTGGCAACGTGGACGAGATAGAGAATCTGGATCCAGAGCGCAAGTACATTCTGTCTGCACGAATCCGGTTGGCACGCAACATTGAGGGTCTGCCCTTCTTCCCGAAACTCTCCGAGAAACAGTTCATCGAGGTGGAGGAGAAGGTGCGCTCGGCGACGGAAACAATGGATGGGGAGTTAATCGGCTCCTATCTGACGATGGCTGACATCGATGCCGAGACCCAGGCCGAGATGGTTAAGCGACATATACTCTTTCAGCGTGGCGATGAGCAACTGACCACCGCCGGCTGCTATCGCTTCTGGCCGACGGGTCGCGGGGTCTACCACAATCCCGCCGAGACTTTCTTAATCTGGGTGAATCGTCAGGACCACGTACACATTATGTCGATGGCGCAGTGCGGAGACTTGGGCGATGTGTACAATCGCCTTGTAAACGGACTCGCGGAGCTGGAGAAGACGCTGACCTTTGCGCGTCATCCGCGATACGGAAACCTAACGGCCTGTCCCACCAACCTGGGCACCACCCTGCGTGCGTCGGTTCACATCCGCTTGCCGCTGCTCAGCAAGGACCCCGATCGTCTAATCGCCCTCGCCGAAGAATTGCAGCTCCAGGTACGCGGCACCGATGGCGGCGAACTGGCTACCGTGGAAGATGGTGTCATGGACATTTCCAATAAGAGGAAGCTCGGTTTCACAGAGTTCGAACTGGTCAAAACACTGCAGGATGGCGTAGTGGCCCTGATCAACGCCGAGGAAGAGCTCGAAATAGCCGGACAGGAGGGGCTAGAAACAAATACCGCAAACATCAAATTTTGACAGCCCAAAACATATCCATTTCACCATAAAAGTAATACTCACAAGTACAGACAAGCAGTAGAAAGACAAGAGCATATCTGGTTAAATAAATTTGTCCCGTAGTCCCGACCAATCACTCACCTTCCAGTCCTCCTCGTCATCCTTTGAATTGCGCTGAATTTGACCAATCAATTTGAACCAGTTGGACTTGGTCGAAGCCTGCACGTCTAGGGTTATGTTCCACCTGTGGAGAGCATCCACCAGGACTGACCCATCCGGAGCATCTAATTGGTCTGTGTGCTCCAGCGTTAGTCCAATCTGCTTGCCCTTCAGGTCTGAAGTCTTCAACACATCCTCGGCACAAAAGTTTCCCTCAATCTGAACGGAAATCGAGGATTAGTTCAAATAATATTCCGTTTAATTGTATCTCTTACTCTGGTGGCCTTTTCGTTGAACATCAGCATTGTTAAGTTCCGATCGTGGCCCAGGTGAATGGAGCTAAGCTGGGTAAAGCCAAATGCATACATTAGGGCGCTCACCACCATGTTTCCGGAAAAGCCACTGCAATACAAAATATATCATTAGTTTAAAAGTAAATGGGATTCGCGACGCTGAAGCTACTTTTCTGTGAATTCGGACTTGAGCAGCATCCCTCTGTACTTGATTAGCTCGTCAACATTCGTGCTCATGCCCAGACGTACGCCCAGATCTGGCATTGTGTAGCTGAAGAGTTGGACCTGAAATATTTAGGTTAGTCTTAATTTTAATTCTGAAAAGTTACTAAAAAAAAGATACTAAAACTAATTGTTTTTCCCAGAAACTATAAAATTAGCCTAAAAATAGTTCAATCTGTACAAAATATAATTTGTATATAGTCTCCTCCTCAAGAATAAACTCACCACATCGTTTCGACTCTCAGGCAGCATGATCTCCTCGAAGGGCACCGTTGCAGTTTTAGTGATCAAACCCCTGGTCTTGGTCACCGCCCGCGACTTGAAGGACAGGCCGCTGGTCAGATTCTGGGGTCGGGAGAAGGAGTAGCGCCTGCACTTACTGTCGCTCTCGTTTATATGCAGCTCGCTGCTAAAGGGGACGTAGATGAGGAAGCCTTGCTCCCGGTTGATCTCGTGGTCCAGATTCAGGAACGGATTGTAGCTGCGGCTGCGGACCGAGGCGTACGACGAATACCGGGCGTCGATCTCCAGCGTGTGTTTTGTTATAGGCGGATTGCGCTGCTCCGTAATATTGCCACGCAACGAGGTCAGCACGGTGGTCTGCAAAAGGACATCGGCGGAGGTGCCCAGCACGGTGGGCACGGAGTAGCGATTCATGAAAGGCCAGCGCACGGTTTGCATGTTGATGTGGCTGTCCGTCCGGATAATTTGCTGCAGTCGCTCCAGAACTGCAAAAAACTGGTATGAACTACCATTGACCGATAGTAAGGGGTCACCACACTCACTGTTTTCGTAGGTCAGTTGCTGGAACATCCGCTGGTTGAGATGGTAGGATAGCACCGTCTTGCCCTCCATTTGCAGAATGAACTCCAGGTGCAGGTCCTTCGAGTTGACGATCGGAGCCTGCAGCATGGCCAAAAGGGCTTTGATGCTCTTGAAAGTGAACGGATCGCTGCCTTTGCCTGACTGCATCTTGCTAAGTATCGTATCTGGCAGTCCACGTGCCTTGATGTAAAGCTGAAAAGAGGTGAAGTTGTTTAGATGTTAAATTTGTTGGATTTGCTTTTTAATTTACTATTTACTCTTTTAATTTTAATATTTAATATTGGTTTAACTTACCGCCAGTTGGCCAGTGAACTTGCCCAGAGCCTCGGTGTCGAACTTGAAGAAGGCCACCACTGGCATGTCCGATTTTGGATCGCCCACGAGGAAGACCTGCAGCATAGCTCCGATTCCGAACTTGGAGTCGCGATAGTCGAAGATATAGTTGCCGGTGACCCAGTAGCGGGACTCCGGCTTCGGTGGCAAATGGCGATGCATGTAGGACAAGAGTCGGCGTCTGGAAGCAAGGACATTAGACCTCGATGGATGGGGTAAGTAAGGGGAATGACTTGCAGTTTCTGGTAGCAGGGATATGTTGTCTCCGAAATGCTCGTCACCGTCGTCCTATAGTAGTTGATCATATGTGGGTCCGTTTCGCTCTGGATGATGCGATGGATGCTGATCAGACGGGCAGCTGTGGGGTTTGAAATCAAAAGCAGGGTAACCGCGGCCACCCGCAGCTCCAGGCTGGCGTTGCGCGACTCGAAGATGGGCCAGTAGACCTCGTAAATACGCTCCGCTCGGCGATCTGCTAATGCCAGTGTTGTCCAGGCAGCCTGGAACTTAAGGTCCTCGTGCTCGTTGGGATCCTGAACAATCGGCTCCAGATAGTTGGCCACGTTGCCCAGCTGCAAGTTGTTCAGACCCTGCAAATACAGCATCTTCTGGTCGAAGTCGCGATCGCCTAAGCAGCGCAAGAGATTAAAGGATTAGTTTTTCCGCTTTTGCTTACGGTGTCTAAGGAGATATAAGCTAATTCTTTAGGATAAAATGGAAATATCACAATTAAGTGAAATATCTAGGCGATTAGTAGATTTCAAGGATAAGAACTTCTACACATTTTTAGCTTTCTAGGAAACTTACTAAGATATGCGTTGAAGTACTTCTGCACGTATGCCTCGAACTTTTCCTTGTCAATGCCCTTAGCCACGTATACATTATGGACAAGCGTGGCAAAGCTAAGAATTGCTGCCTGCTTCACATCTGGGTGCCCCGGTCCGATATTAAGGAAGCTTTCGCACTTTTCTACCAATTCAGCCGAGAGCTCGAAAATGTGGAAGGGCATGGGTATCAGCAGTTGCACAGCAACTTGCGGTTTGGTAGTTTTGTTTAGCACCAGATGATGGGTGAGAAAAACGGAGGCTTTGGTTCCAATGCGGGGTATGATTTCATGGAAGATGTTGCGAATGGTTTCCTGGCGGTACGAGGTGCCGATGTCTACCTTCTCGTAGAGTTTTTTGAGCGAATCAAAGTCCACCTCGCTGAGAAGCTTGATCACATCGGAAAGAGTGGAGTCATAGGGTTCGGAGTACTTAAATTCCGTGGTCTCGAGACCCTCGGCCAGGCTGTCCAGGAGTACGCCCGCCTGGGTAATCAGAATCTCCTGCTGCTGGGGATTTCGTCCGCCAGTCGGATCATTCGGGTCCAGCGGCTGTAGCTCCAGGTTAGATGATTCGGCCGCCATTGAGGTTTCAATATCGATGGGATTGTCAATGGGCGACTCATTTATAAAGTTGAGCATCAACTCCGAGTTGATGAACTGCGCCTCCCCCGTGGACTCAAAGGTGTGGATCAAAGTGGTGCTCTTGGCATGGGCCATGCTTAGGAAGTACCCAGTCTCGTTATGAGGCAGCATTCCGTAAATGGCCTCGTTGCCGATGATTACACTCTTCTGGTGGTCGAACTCACACGTGTTCGGCGACACGTTGCTCCGGGTGGTGTGCACCGCCTCCGAGTAGGGCTGGCAGGTCGTCAGCTCCGGCGTCTTGCGGATGGAGATGTAGCTGGTCCTGTTGGACACAAAATACTCCGTGCGGCATGTGCCGTGGATACCAAGCTTCGGGGAAAAATTAAACTTATCAGTATGGAACACATAATATAATTCCTAAAAAGTTATACTGCAGAGGTCATTTCAAAATACTGAACTTCATACAAATATTTTATATTTTAGATTATATTGCAGAGTTGTTTAAAATAAATGGCATCAGGATTAAGTAACGTAAAGGTTTCTTAAGACACAGTTTACATGTAAAAAAAAAACACAAATATTCTGTATTAATCTTCATATTAATCAGTCGGGCAATTTTAAAGATATTAGGTCGACGCTAATTTAGTGTGCAAATAACATACCTCATCCACAACGAAGGCCCCGCTGGACTTCATCTGGAACTGCAGGACCGAAGCGATGGCCCGCTTGAAGTTCATGCTCCATATGGGATCGCCCTCCTTGAAGACCACATGCGAGATGGCGCAGTCTGGGGTGAGGGCGATCTTGAAGGGCTTGTAGGGCGGGTACATCTCCTTGTTCTGGAGGAACTTCTCGCCGGAGTTGCTCAGCGTTACATCGTCGATGACCAGCTGTGAAAGAGAAGGCGATTAGCCGGGAAAGCCCTTTAGCAATGCTGCAATCTCCGATCGGCTAGGGTCGAGCCCAACTGAACCGGCTGATAAGCCTCAGCGCCGTTTATCTGGCGAACAGAAATTAGTCAGATCGACTTTCATATGGCGCACACATGCCTCTTACTCTGCCAGATACCCAGATGCCTGATAAGCGAGGGCTACTCCTAGAGTCGCTCTCAGTCAAGACAATCAGAGCTGATTAACGAAGGAAGGAAGGGAATGTGTGCGCCTGTGTGTATTGGCATTATCTGTGGGGGCTCAATGAAAGAAGTTCACAGCCGAGTTCAGTTCATTGTGGGCACTCCGTGGGCACTTCGCTCTTTCCGAGTCTCTCTGTGAAAGGTTAAATTGTCTTTAATTCATCTGCGAATTCTTCTTCGTCTGCGCAGGCAGAGAAGAAGTCGCTGGGAAAGGGGCTGTGGAATACGCCGATTGAATCGTACAAATTGATAATAATATCAATAAATTGATTCGATTTTTCACTGATTTTCAATTGATTTATGTGTTCCTCTCTATATATACAAATAAATACAAAAGATGTTCATTTAGCACATAAGTGATCGCAAGGCAATCGGGTGTTTTTTTGTATAAACAAAAATATTATTCTAAACGAAATCGAATTAATCATCGACCGGGTCGCGGGAGATCAGACAAAACATTTCCTAAGTATTCCTGGAAATGGAACTGATCCTAGACAACTCACCGCCGCAGCCATGACTAGTTCGCTCTGCCGCTGGAGCGTCAGTTTCCCCCGCACTGTCCATCCTGTGGTTGGAGGCGCCGGATGACCCTCGTCCAGGGCCTTTGCGCCAACGACGATGTTGCCCACGTACTCGTAGAGCATTTGTTTGTTGAGGCCAATGATGCTGAATGCATGGCTGGCGTCGAAGATCAGGAAAAGATCTGCCGAATAGATAGATAGATGGGAATTTGAACTTCAATTCTATGGATGCTTCACCGCCCGCCAACCGACTTCACCCTCTTTCGCTATGTCGCATTCCCGCGGATGGGCAATAAACTCTTCAATTATCAATTGAATTTCTTTCTTATATATACTAAGTGTGCATGTGTATATATAATATATATGCACATATATAAATGATCGCAAAACGCTTTAATCAATGTTGCTCTTCGGCTTCTTTTTTGATGCGCGCTCGTCAATGAATAATTACGTCATGGTCTTTAATTAGTTTCTGATAAAGTTGGGATTATCAACTAGGTTACTCTCACGTACACACGAACACGGAGCACTTGAGTCGCCTCATGGCCAGCTGCTTCCTTCCGAGGTCGTGGTACTCTCTTTCTCACAGATTTTCCGAAGGTTTTCACTGCGCGCACAGACTCACTGTTCTAACGTAAGGCAATATATGTATATATATATTTATATGAACGCGACTGTATATTATCAGATATGTTTCAAAAAAGCCGCCGCTTTTCCTCCTTTATCGCCAACTCGTCTTATTCCCGAAGTACAGCTCGACGTCTTTTCGGTTCGCGATCCAAACTCGGACTGAAGCTGCGAGCGGACCTAACAGCCGGATTGCTGGCCTTGCTGGAGGTTCCGCTGATAAGCATCATTGCTGACAAGAGCAGCTTGGCTCTCTTATAATCTGTTGAGACTTCTCTTAGGAAATGTCCTATTAATAGATTTTGGCCGCCTTCACCAGCACAATGTATCACTGATCAAACTACAAGGATACTTTTCTGATGAACATTTTTATTCTGAATATTACAAAATGTCCTAAACAAGTTATATCAATCGTTGAAAGTTTATTTTAAATACTGCCCTTAATATAAATCCTCTGAAATATAATATTGTTGGTTGAATTTAAATACACCATAGATCACCACTACCAATTTTGTTTTTTAGCCAGTAAATATCCATAATTCAACCAAGAGTTTTTGTAAATATAGACTAGAAATACACAATTCTGCGCTATTTATTTGGTACCATTCACTTTCATTATTATTATTAGCAACGCACTTAAGCCGCTCAGATTGTCTATAAAAATCTACGTTATTTATTAGTATAAGAGTAGCGTTTAAGGTTACTTATAGACGAACTTAGACTTTCACGAAGTGTTCATACGTATAACAATATACCACAAATCACATGGAATCAGGAATAACAGAAAGTATTTTGTGGATGTCTTAAGTCTAGTGTGCTCCACCATGAGCATGTCCTGCCCTAAAGTGAGCACCACTCGTTCCAGCCCCACTTGGTCCTGCTCCACTGGGTCCAGCGCCCCCTGAACTACGTTTTTCGGATCCAGATTCTCCACTGGCGTCTCCGTTGTCGGAACCACTCTGCTCCGCATCTAGATTCTTTAGCTGTTGCTGCCACATGTCCGCATATATGCCATCTTTCCGCAGGACGAGCTCTTCGTGCCTGCCGCGCTCTGCAATGCTTCCCTGCTGCAACACCAGTATCTCGTCCGCATGTATGACAGTTGACAGCCGGTGGGCCACGATGATGGTGGTGCGATTGGCACAGACCCTGGCCAAAGCTGCCTGAATGTTTCGCTCTGTGTGCGTGTCTAAGGCCGAAGTCGCTTCGTCAAGAAGAACAATGATGGGCGATTTGAGGAGCGTTCTGGCAATGGCCACTCGCTGCTTTTCTCCACCACTGAGCCGCAGACCTCGCTCACCCACCTTTGTCTCATACTTGTCCGGGAAGCCGAGGATCCTGTCGTGAATGTCGGCGGCGCGAGCAGCCTCATAGACGGCTTCGTCAGGAGAGCCCAACTTGGCATACTCTATGTTGTAGAAAATGGTGTTGTTGAATAGAACGGTATCTTGAGGCACCACTCCAATGGCCTTTCGCAGGCTCTGCTGCTGCACCAGTTTAATGTTTTGTCCGTCAATCAGGATAGCTCCCGTCTGCACATCGTAGAAGCGGAAAAGCAGTCGCATAATAGTGCTTTTGCCGGCTCCAGAGGGTCCAACTATTGCCACCGTTTTACCGGCAGGCACAGTGAAGCTTACGTTATGGAGCACTATCTTCTCCGGCGAATAGCCGAACGTCACGTTGGAGAACTCGATGCTACCGCCAGCCGTGAGAAGCGGCGAGGAGCCTGGTGCATCCACAATATCTTCCTCCTCGCGCAGCAGGTCGAACATGTTCTCCATGTCCACGAAATTCTTTTGAATGGCGCGGTAGTAGGTGCCAAACCAGTTCAGCGGCATGTACAACTCCATGAGGTAAGTGGAGAAGAGCACAAAGTCGCCCACGGTGAGCGTTTGCTGGTGGACCACCAGGTAAACGCAGAGCAGGGATCCGGCCAGCAAGCCAAGGCATAGGATTATATTCTGGGCGGTGTTCAGCATGTTAAGGGTCAGCATGGAAAGGAACTCCTCCTTTTGGTACTTGAGAATTGCCGCCCTGTAGCAGTCCACCTCGTAATTTTCCGCTCCATAATACTTAACAGTTTCGAAGTTCAGCAGGGAGTCTACACTTCGGGCACGTTGCTCGTTGTCGGCCAAATTCATCCTTCTCTGGTACTTGGTGCGCCACTCGGTGATGGCAATGGTGGATGCTAAAAAATTAAGGAGAGTGTTAGTACTTTTTAAAAACATTGGTGATTAAATTACGTTTAAAAAACTACTCTGGGTTTTACTTATCGAACGATAATTCTTATCTATCTGCCAATTTGTTGATAGAGGGGAGGAACGTTTTTGGAAGTATAATTTAAGCGTTTACATATCACATTTTTAAAGCCCCTGATTTTGTGTAATCGTAATCGATAAGGAACCAATAGTTCTGTGGCTATAATTAATACCTTTAGTGGCATCAACTAGTAAACAATTACAAATTTAAGTTACTTTAATACTAAAGTTTGTTAGTACTTCGGACAATGCAAAATCACGTTTAAACCAGAACAGTACTATTGAATATATATTTATATTGTCCCTTACCTATATACAGGAACATGGTGAGGAACACAATCAAGCCGAACCACCAATTGAAGGCGTATATAAAGTAAGCCACTGCCACGAGCAAATCCAAAATGGTGGGCGCAATGGAGAAGACAATATAGTTGAGAAGATTGTTGATGGAATCCGTTCCACGATCCATGACACGCAGCACCTCGCCGGTCTTTCGTTGCAAGTGCCATCGCAGAGAAAGCTGGTGCAGATGCCGGAAGAGCTCGATTTCAATCTCCCGGGTCGTGTACTGCTGAACCCGTATCCAGAGGAAGGTGCGCAGGTTATTGAACAATCCCATGGTTCCGGTGCCGCCGCCTTGGAGGAAGGACAACGCCACATAGACCAGCACAAAGTCCCAGCGGAATAGGATCGGAGCAATGGTAAGACTGTCCACTGTGAATTCAGAAGATTATCGATGAATGACTGAACTCAGTACTCCCGCCATTCCTGACCTACCCAACTTCTTGCGATAAATCGGTAAAAACAGCTTTATGACTCGACCGGCTAGCAGCAGTAAAATGCACATAATGACGGCTAATTGCAGGGCGAAATTCTTCCTGGGCCAAAGGTAAGGAAACACGGTACTTAACTTGCGCCAGCCATTCCTGAAAGCCGAACCGGTGTGCACATTTCCTTGTGATTCGGGGTCTGACTCGTTCTCCAGTCGCTCGTGCGGATTGTAAGGGGCCATGATGCCTGGTGCTTTTAGACCCAAAACAAAAATGAGCAGTGAGCAAAGGAAGCGCGTGACAAACAGGCCCATCTCAATTTGATCCTTGTTGCTGGAAGTAAGTAAAAGATATACTACTGATAAACGTATTGGTAATTATTCACATGTCTTACGTTTTCAGATGGAACCACCAGTCCTCGTGACGCAGATTGATAAAGGCCAGCGACTCATTGATGAAGGCCAGTGTCCAGAAGAGCAACAGGATGAGGCCATGTCCCCGGGTGGGCACCGAAGGCAGCTGGTAGTAGCGCTCCTTGAGTATTAGACAGATGCTGAACGGATACGAGAAGCACGCAACGCAAGTGGAGAAGATCTAAAAGTGGGAGGAAGTTAAGTAACGGAGTTTCCCTGAAGATTATCATACTAACCATATACCCGTACACCGCACTATCCGGATAGATGCGAGCGTTCATCAGAAATCGCAGTGCCGCCAAAACTGGGAGCAGACACAAAAGGAACAGCTGAAGGGCGAACAGGCGGGACTTGGAGATCTGCGTGGGATCCGTTATCCGGGTGGCATACTTCCGGTACATCAGCAACTGAATGCAGCCGAAGAGCAGCAGGAATCCGCCGTAGACGGCCGGTCCCACGGTGTCCATGAAACAGTGTGAGATGCCATGCTGCGTCCACACCTCGCTGAGGGTCACGTTGGGCGGGCAGTACATCATCGTGTATTCCGGGTTTCTATGACGGGGACGGGGAAAACAATTGCGGTACGATAAGCTCTGATAGAAACGTGCCAGATAAAGTTGAGCTGTGACTGAAACAGCCCAGTGAACACAATTGCTTTGTTTTATGATGAACCAGCCATTTCGCAATTATTCACCCAAATTATCAGACGCCCCCAAAAGGGAATCACTTTTTTTTTGCTCTAGGTAAGCAGTGTGCAAATTGCTTAGCGATAATTATATTATTAATATAGAACTTTTAGAGCACGGCACCAACTGATCTCGCCGTAAAATCCGGAAACCAATGAAAGTGCAATTCATCCAACCCATTGGATATGCTAAATTATGCAATGCTACAAGTGCTCGATGGGACCGTGTGGATTTTATTTTCCGCTTACCCGCTATGAAAGTCGCTTATTTGAGTTACCACTGTAATCACTGATGAACCAGGTGATAACTCAATTAACGGAAAACTGGCGGACAACTCCGGCCGACTCAACGATCAAAATAAATAATCTTGGCCCACGGGATTAGTGTGGCCGTCAACGGATAGCTTTAATATACTAACATATTGAACGGAATGCGGGTAAGTTCAAAATCAATAGGTTTCTGTGTTCATCAAAGGGTTTGCAATAGTTAAGAAAGTGAAGCCAATATTTTTTGTAAAGTCCATATTATAATTTTATCGAAAAAGAGTGGATAATACAAAATTTTCTTGTCACCATAAGAAAATTGTGGTTTTGTTAAACGGTCTTGCTATTTTGCAGCCCTGATGTGAGTTTGGCGCTCATCTGAATATTTAAACACCTAATCAAATGTTTTTTTTAAATCATATTTATAATTTTTCTTAAACGAGCAATACTCTTTATGAAATTTGTAAACCTAAAAACATAACATCGAGACAATAAAGGCCATTTACTATATCGCTTTCATTTTCTTTAAGCTTATTGTTTTTAAAAGAAGTATTCAAATGTATACGATAATTTATTTCCAAATTTATTTCTGTTCTTGTTATCACTTATTGTTTTTAAAAGAAGTATTCAAATGTATACGATAATTTATTTCCAAATTTATTTCTATTCTTTTTATTTATTTAAGTTATCAAAAAAATAAGTTAACTTTTTAAAAATATTATCTATTATTCTGTACTGTATTGGTATTTCATATTTTCACACCTCACAGCGAGATTTGCACTTTCAAGAAGAAAGTTCTTGGTTTAAGAACTCAATATTAAATCAATATAATTGAATGTTTATAGTTTTTTGAAGGTTTAAACCCCATTAACCGTTTCGAACCTACAAAATTACCTCATATCTTAAATTAATACCACCCTTTTCAAAATAAAAAATTAGTTTCTGAATTCCATTTGAATATATATATATATTTATATAGATTTCTTTATTCGTCAATTTTCAAAATAAATATTCATGTTCGTCTAATACTTTACATACAAGAAATTTTCACAAGTTGCCTACTCTTAGCCTTAGGTAATATCTACTCTACACTAATTGTCTGAGTTTAAAGAGAATTAATATTCAAAGCACAAGGAACAAATTGTCTGGGAGTAAATTCCTATTTACATCGAGTTTTTCTTCGTTTTTAAGGTTTGCTAACATGTAAAATTCGCTACTTATTAGTAAAGGGATAGGGGTGATTAAAAACTACTAAACATTTTAGAAGAGTTCCCGTACGAATTTCGAATTTGATTCGGTCGCCTATCGACTAACCACTAACTTGTTCAACTTGGGTTTAACTTATTATCACAAACAAGTACATTTAATATGCATATGATTACAGGGTGGAGGGAGTAGCCTCCCCCGCTTACAGCTACGAGTTGATCTTGGCCAGCAGCGGCTGGGTGACGGCACTGCCCGCCACCGGTGGGCACTGCTGCTTGTAGCTCTTCACCAGGTATCCGTAATGGTTGCTCTCCGCCGGAATGTTCTGGCCACTGCTGCTCCTCTGCGGACTGGCGGAGACCAGCTGGGGCACCGGAGCCGGAGCACTCGGTGGCCCCGGTGTGGACAGCAGTGGCGCCTCGTCCCCCTCGGCGAACTTGATCCTCAGCTGGCCACTGCCCATGCTGCTCGTTTCGGGGCCTGGAGAGGCATTGAGCTCTGTCCGGGCGCTAGTCAGCAGCGTTGAGATCGTGGGCGATGGCTTCAGCCTGCTCCGTTGGCCACCCAGTTGCGGTGGCTGCAGGATGCCGCTCAGATTGGAGCTGGAATTCGAGTGCACATAGCCGTGACTATTGTTGTTATTGAGGTGATGGTGGCTCTTGAGTGCTCCGCTCAGCGGCAGCCGGAAGTGGGCCAGCTCCCAGCTGTCGGACGACTCCTCCATGTCCCGCAGGCTGCGGCTGCTGTAGATGTCGCAGGTCCTCTGGGCAGCCGCCGCATCCAGATAGAGGTTCTCAGTCTTTTGGTAGTCGAAGCCGCCGCCATTCAGCTTGGGCGAACTGGAGCTAATCTTGCGTTTCACGCGGAGATTGGGCGTATCCTTGGACGGTGGCGCTGGCGGTGGCAGGTCGATCGCAGGTGGCGGTAACTGGAGAGGTGGCGTGGCCACCACCAGTTCCGAGTACTGCTTGTGCAGGTGGTGCGACTGACTGCGCTGCGGCTGCTTCAGCGAGGAGCGGCGCTCGAGCATTAGCTTGCTGGGCGAGATCAGGGAGTTGGGGCGAGGCACCTCGCCTTCCAGCCAGTAGGTGAGCATCTCGCCCTTACCCTTCATGGGCACGAAGCCGCGACGAGTGGTCACAAAGGTGCCGAACTCATCCAGTGCCACCTTGGTGGTCTCACTGATGTGGATCTTCAAGGCCTCACCATTGGACTCCATGCGAGAAGCCGTATTGACAGTGTCCCCAAACAGGCAGTAGCGTGGCATCTTCAGACCCACCACCCCGGCCACACAGGCCCCAGTGTGCAGGCCGATTCTCAACTTAAGCCGATCCTCCGGCCGATGATGGATCCGGAAATTATGCACCGCCTCCAAGAGGGCCAGTGCCAAACGGGCTATCTCCCGGGCATGCTGGTTACCATTGCGAATGGGCAAACCTGAGACCACCATGTAGGCATCTCCAATGGTCTCCACTTTGTACACATCGAAGTTCTCCACGATGGAGTCGAAGCAGGTGTACAGGTCGTTGAGGAACTGCACCACCTGCATGGGTGTGCTCTCCGCCGAGATGGCCGTGAAGCCCACGATGTCACTGAAGTAGATCGTAACCTGGTCGAAGGTCTCCGCCACCACGGGCTGTCCGCTAATGAGCTGGGCGGCCACGCTCTGCGGGAGCAGTTGGTAGAGCAGCTTCTCGCACTTCTTCTTCTCCTCGTGGTAGTCCTGGGTGCGCTCCTCCACCAGTTCCTCCAGGTTGTTGGCATACAGCTCCATGCGCTTCAGCAGGTTGTCCACGATGTTGCCCGTCTCGTTATCCCTGCGAAAGAGAGCAATCAAAATGAAAGGATTTTATTTATTTTGATCTTATAATTTGTACAAAGCTAAGACTTACATAGAAACAAAAAGTACTAGCTGCTATCTATCTATCTATATGGTTTTTGATTGATTTCATAAAACTATATACAACACTATAGACAAGAAAGCTGTCTTAAAATAAAAAAATATCTCACGATTTTCAATATTTGTGTATAGATATGTTCTATATATATACTTGTATATCCATTACTGTATGTAAAGTAAGTGGTATAAAAGCTCAACTATCAAGACGATGACTAAATTTAAAATTCAGATTAGAAAACCTCATTGATTTTTTAATGTAAAGGAGTAATGACTTGCTAGAGGAATTATTTGACGCGCTAATTGTTTCCACTCACTTATTGAACCTGCGTATCATGGACTTGAGAGTGTTGAAGTCCGGACGCTCCGCAGGATCTTCCGCCCAGCAGCGGCGGATGATGCCATTGATGTCTGCCTTGGTGTCGCCATTGGGTTCCAGTTCCGGACGGAATGGTTTCTGCATTCTGTGCGGTTGGTATCCCTTAACCAACTCAATGATCTCTGTGAGGGAAAAATGAGAAACCCTTGAATTAGTCTTCAATCCAGAATTTATTTTGTACAAGTTGATTATGTAAATTATTCGTGTTAAGTGTAGTTTTATGTCAACACCGTAGGGGTCCTATTGACCAGGCAGATTTACCACACGGACACTCAAACACAGCTGCCGAGATGTGCACCAGGAATCAGTATCTGGAACTGGTCGGTTTATTTGTACAGGCGAAGCCTCAGAAACCCCGTGTCCTAAGGCCTTGTCACCAGCATGAACTCTTGCTGCAGCTCATCTGCCGTCGCAAGGAGCTGCTGACCAAGAGCCAGCTCGAGGACCTAATCTGGAACATATCCAATGGCCCGAAAAAGAAGACCTCCAAGTCCAGGAGGAGGCAGTGTGGTGGCATGGATGTGCAGACCGAACCCACCGATGCTGAAGTAGTGTTCGGTTGCAGCGAGAAGACGCCACCTGGCACCATTTCAAACAGAGGCTGGGGAAGATCACGCATCGAGTGGCTGCGCAAGTTAGAGGTACAACAGAAGCAATATTACCAGGCCTGGCAGGAATCCCAAGGGGTCAATGCTTGCAACAAGCCAAGCGGGATTTCAAGCCAAAAGGACAAGGAACCCAGCATATTGAAGGCCAAGGAATCCAGTGGATCGAAGGACAAGGATACAAGGAAAGCCAGGAAGAAGCAACCCGGCTGTTGGTCCCTGCTGCCTTTCAGCTGTGCCTGGGACCTCGGCCACGATTCCAGCTGCCAGGACGTGCCCCACCGCAAGAAGAGTTCGTGATTCGCCTTTTGGCCCCCAGTGTGGGATTCAACTTTTTCGACCGAACCTGCACTTTGATTTCGATTTTGATTTCCAGTGCGACGAGACCGCAATTAAATTCGTCTGCCGACACAGCCCACGACAAGTACTTGCTGCCAAAGTTGCATCCTGCGGCTGACGAGTGGATGTGCCCAAGGAGGACTCTGATTCCCTTATCCCAGTCACGGCCTAATTTGATGAATTCGTCAAGTGCCAACTCGAAGACCAAGTTCTGGGCGCCAGTTGAAATCGGCACGAGTCTCGAAGTTGGCCTGTAGTTCAACGAGGCATTGAGTGCATCAACTTTAAACAGCATCAACTTTAAAACAGTGAAAAGCCAGCGCATAGAAAATATTTTTTGCTTTTGGTTTTTTGTTAAAGTGGCTAAAAGTGAAATGACCTTCGATATGAAAAGCCACAATAAATCAAAAGTTAAATCGATAGCTTGTATTTTTATATATATTTTAAAAATGTGACCTTTCGTATTTCGTATTAATTGTGACCCCTAAAGACTAGATTTCCTATAGAATTTTGAATGAACAAATTTAAGTTTCTTTTCTTGGTGGTCAATATTTAAGAGCATTTAATTAACGTGTTAATGTAGCTCAATATTGTTTAATATTCGCTAGATTACCCATTATTCTTGGCATGGAAATTCTCTGGTTGCACAGAGGTAAAATGATAGTTGCCACTACCCCAACCGTATATTGTGCAGCACGTCCAGTACTAATTTGGGCCTCCACCCTGATCCACAACCACAACCGCCACCAGCCCAGTGGCCAACTGACGGACTGAGTAACCGCAACATGTGCAAAAATCTGGCATTAAAATTCCGCACAGACAAAATCGGCCGCAACACGAAAACGGCCAAGCGGAAGGAGATGGGAATGATAGAAGGGTCAAAGGTTGAGAAACACTGGAATAGCATACCTTGCGGCGATTTCTCATACGCACACCTGCCCAGGTAAAAGGGACCTTGTCGAGTGGTTATCTCGTGCACAATAATTCCAAAGGCGTAGACGTCACCTTTCTGGGTTCCCTCGGGCGCTCGATTGTGCTCCACTTTCAGCAGTTCAGGGGCTGTCCACAGAAGCTCTGCACAGGGAGAAAATATATCTGTTTAATTAACCATCATTCAAAACTCTAAAGTATTAAACTATGTATAGAAATATATTTTGATTGAGAGAATATTTGTAAAATCTTAAACTATATTTCCATTAAATTATTTAAACCAAGCAACTTAAAAAAAAATTATTTTTCTGCAAATTTGAATTGATATAAGATTTTAGATTAAAGTAAAGCGAAAATGGGAATATGTTGATTATGTTTTTCTTTTACATTTTGTAACCCAACATTTTTTTAAGTGTAGTAAACTCTTTTGCAAGCTCTAACTACTTACTGCTCCAGTAGGCGTGGCTGTTGCAGTTGCCCCCGTCGCTCTCCATGTCGAATCGAGTCCGCCGCAGGGTGTGCAACCCAAAGTCGGTGATCTTGAGCACGAACCGGGAGTCGACCACGCAGTTGGAGGACTTGAGGTTGCCGTGGGAGCGAATGTCGGAGCTGTGCAGGAACTGCATGCCTCGGACGATGTCGTGCATGAGGGACAGGCGGAACATCCAGTCCAGCTGGAACTGCTCGTTCTCGAGGATGTCCTGCAGCGAACCCTTTGGGCAGTATTCAGTCAGCAGGAAACTTCGGCGCTGATCCAGACAGGCACCGTAGAACTTGACCAAGTGGTCGTGCTGCAGGTCCTTCATCCGCTTCAGTTCCAGCATCAGACTGCGAGTGAGCACAGCCTGCACATTATCCACCTCCACCGGCTTGATGGCCACCTTGCTCTTGCGGAACATGCCCACGGGAATGAAGATCTGCCGATCGCCATTGATGGACACCATGTCCTCGGACATCAGAGTGAGCTGCGAGCTCTGCTTCACCAGCGAGTGGAAGGAGCCGCGCAACCCACGCTCTGCGGCATCTCGGAACATCACATCCTCCAGCGACACCTTCCAGCTCATCGAGTTGATCTCCGCCTCGGCGATGTAGTGTCGATAGCCGAAGAAAAAGCACACGGCCATCACGACCACCATGGTGCCCAGCACAATCGACAGGATCGCATAGCCAGGCAGGGCTAAAAGATAGGTTACATATGAAGTCAGGAAAATGTTGGCTCTTGGGGAAAATAACCTTAGAGTAAAAGTGTTTATTGCTTAAGATATATATTGTTAAATTAAGAGAAATCGTTGTGTACCCTATAATAAAATTGATTTTTTTTTAATTTTACGGTCTTGGGGTTGAGTATAACCAAATTACTAAAATTTCCTTCACGTCTAGAGATGCCTTTGCAAAACGCAAAATACTGTGGCAACCAAAGCTTTAAATTTGAAAATTTCCTACCTAGAGACAAAGTAATTGTTTTTTCAGAAATCTATCAACCTAAAAATATTCTCAGCTATCGGACATTTTCGACGATCCCCAGAGATTTCTTCCTAAATACTTGCTCCAAAAAGTATGCTAAGATATATAGCCCCAAGGACCTTGGGCTTACTTATTGATTACTTATTAATTAATACTCACAATTATCGGGGCACAGGGCACCGTCGTACCCGCAACTGGGTCGATCCGGCGGCGCCTCCTCGCGATCGCCCGCCCAGTGGATCTCCTTGTTGGCCTCGAACTCAAGACGGTTGTGCAGAAAGTGGGCCACGATCTCGAATCTTCCGGTGGTGGGGTTCATGTCCAGCAGCGAGTAGGCGGAGAGCCGGTCGCCGTTGGCGTCGATGGTCACGTTGCCGGTGATGCCGGTGAAGCTGCGGTTCCACATGCGGCGCACCATGTCGGTGCCGTTGATGGGACGCGTCAGCATGGTGGGATCCTCGCGGATGCTCTCGTTCAGGGCGTTGGCGTAGAGGAGGACTCCGTCGAAGAAGGAGGTGACAAATGCCGAAATGGGCTCGTTGTCGCTGAACGTGTAGTTGTACTTCTCCGCGGCAATGGCTTTGATCTGTGAATGGCAACGGGCAAATAGCGACGCATTAATCTCCCTTCAGCTGGCAGTTATATCGCCCCATTCTATGCGTCGCCAAGGGGCATCAATTGCTGCCCGCTTTCCCGCCGGGGGGAAACCCCTTTAATTGCTTTGGCTCCCGTGAAAATTCAATTACGCGTTCGCTCGCTCGGAACGAAGGAAGGAAGACGTCGGTTCTGGTCTAGGACGTTTTGTCACAATCCATGTGGAAATTATTGCACACCGCACTCTGAAGTGCCGCAGGCGGATTTCGTTGGCCATTCTCTTTTGACAAGAGGCGATGCCGGGATTTGGCCGGAGCTGCGGCTGCAAGTGTCCATTGGGCGTAAGTTTTCTGCCAAGGAAGCCGACGATTTAAGCTACAGTCAATGGAAAACGTGGACGGCCTGTTAAGCTCCACCTGAGTTCATTTATTAACAGATGAACGCACTCAAACAGATTGCAATTTATTTAGCAAAGAAAACACTTCCGATCGAAGTAAATTCTGAGTGCTAAGGAAACACAGATCATTGGATTTTAAAAACCATCAAGCAACATCTTGCTTAAAATGTTAATAAGTGTATTGAAATCCAGATGATTAAAACGTGTTAACAATAAAATCAATTTCGTAAGCTTTCAAAATCTTCCAAACTATTTGCTATGTGTCGAATTCGTAAAACAATCGTTGGGGTCTATTTGGTCTGCTTGCGAAATCAAAAACAGACCAGAAAAGTAATGGTAATGGTACTTCCTTAATGTTTATAAATTAATTTTGCAATTTATCTAAAAGTCTGCATAGAAAAATGATATCTGTTGAATGAACTATGAAACCTTTCCAGGCATTTCGCTTTAAGAGATATTCTCATATGTGTATCTTAAAGATTTAAGGCTCATTTCGTGCTGAGCATGCATCCCAGGCTGCCAATCAGATAAGCATCATCAACATGCATTTTCTCTCCTCCTCCTCGTGGGCTAAGTACCTGGCAGAACCGAGTGTCATTAGCCAGACGGTCTGCAGTCAATAGAAGCCTCTTTAGAGGCGAACTCCTCCATAGATTGCCCCCCATTCCCTGGCTGCTTATCAGAAGCTGCAACAGCAAATTCACTTGGTTTTCAGGTGGCTGGGCCGGCTTTTCGAGGGCCCTTCGGTTTGAAGTTGGCCAGCAAATGCTCTTAGGTGTTGTCGGCTTTGCTTGTTGCAAATTTACCATGTATCAACAGAAAAATGTTTACAATTCCTAGCCGACCCCCTACCACCAAGTTGCCATGCCAAATAGGCTGCAGTTGGGAGGGAACGTGCACAGGAATTGAGTATGCATGAGGCTGGCCAAAAAAGGTGCAAAAAAGGGAGAAAAACAAAAGAAATCTGGAAAATTTTTCAAATTGGCTTTCACATCCATTTCCATGCAAATGCGGGCATCCCCCCATTTTCGCCCCCCAACTGCAGCTGCTTCCCCGCCAGACTCACCTCATTGGAGACCCGGGTGTACTCGTTGTCATTCGGCTGTTTGGGGGTTACGGTCAGCATGGCCGTGTAGGCCTTCTGGGCCCGCTCATTATTTAAATCCGTATCGTTCTTATCGTACCACGGCTGCGACGTCAGATATTGAACCCTTCAATATAGAAATGGTAATAAATAGAATCACTATCAGTGGCGGCACATGCAAGTAAAGTAGTCGCTCAAAAGGATGAACTTGCTGTGACCAAATGTAAATTATTTTTATTTTATTAAAGTTAATTAAAGTTAGTAACTTATGTCCTCATAATTCTGCATTAAATAAAATCTTGAAGACCTACTCCTTACTAAAACAAATTATTAACTATATAAAATAATACAAATAATAACATTTACATTTATTCAAAAGGTACTCTTTTATATTAAAAGTATTCACCGAACACCGTCCACTCTTTCGATGACGTACTGTATGTGATTTTTACAGTTCCCCTTTTTACTTATAAATATTTTTCGAGTATTTATATTTTTCGTTCCCTTTTTAATTTTAGTTTTTTCTTATCACGGCCGTTTTAATTTTGCCTTTGTGCCGCCTTTTCTTTAAGTTTATTACCAGCTATTGATATGCGTCATATATTGTTTATAAATAGAATTGTAAAGTGTACACTCGCCGACACTTATAAGTTTGATTCCATGTAAATGCGTTTGGAATTCATTAGCCCCTCCCCGAATTCATGTGCCCTGTTATCAACCGGGCTTCGCATGTGTTTTGCTCGCTTCAATGTTAGCGGCTAGAAATATTTTTAAATATTGATAATCGAATATACTATAGATATCGACTGCAGCTGTAGAGTTGCCTGACATCCACAATTCGTTGGGGAATTAATTATTGGGCACCATAAATGGAAAAACACTTAAAGGAAAATAAATATCAAATAACATTTTACAATTGACTTAGCTATGTGAAATCAATTTTACGGCTCA